ATGTATATATATATATATATATATATATATATGTATGTATGTATGTATGTATGTATGTATATATATGTATGTATATATATATATATATGTATGTATGTATGTATGTATGTATATATATATGTATATATATATATACACATATGTTTCAGTATATATATATATATCTATATCTATATATATATATATATATATATATAATTACGTATACATATACATATACATGTATATATATATACATGTATGTATATGTATATGTATTTATATATATATATATATATGCATGGAAATATAGATGTGATGCAAAGCTTCTGCATTGTCACGAAACCTTCTGCATAAGCTTTCGAAGTTCCCCAAGCGAAGGTTTACAAAGGCCGAATCCCTCCGCATCATGGAACTGCTCGATGAGATTGAGAAAGGCATGGTAGATCCCTGCCGATGATGGCGGGTGCTGCCAGGTGAGCAAACTGCGCGTTGCTGTAAAGATTGTTGCGATAATATATCCCTGCCGCTTCCGCACATATGCCGGCCGCAGGTTGGCATGTTAGCGTCATGTAATCCAGAGTTAGTTTCCAGCCTGTTCTCAGCCACCTTGCTGACAAAGACTCGAAACGGCATTCTGTGGAGGAAGAAAGTGCCTTGCTTCTCTTTTTCCCTGGGCAGTGTGCATGGAGATGACCCGAGCAGAAGAGCTCCGAAGAGGAGTAGGAATTGCAAAAAATCTGAGCCCTAAAACTGACGTTTTAACACCCCAAACCTCTAAACCCCAAAATCCCTAAGAGTCCCTTAAAGGAACCCCCAAAGATCCTAAGCCCCTACACCCCCAAACCCCGAAGCCACATAGCAGTACTCTTACAGATCATTTAAAGGAGCCCTGAACCCCTAAACCCCGAGGCCATTAAAACCCTTAAACCCATAATAGTACACTTATAGATCTTGTAAAGGAGCCGTAAACCCTAAAGCCTAAACCCTTTAAAGGAACCCTAAACCCTAAAGCCTAAACCCTTTAAAGGAACCCTAAACCCTAAAGCCTAAACCCTTTAAGGGAACCCTAAACCCTAAAGCCTAAACCCTTTAAAGGAACCCTAAACCCTAAAGCCTAAACCCTTTAAGGGAACCCTAAACCCTAAAGCCTAAACCCTTTAAGGGAACCCTAAACCCTAAAGCCTAAACCCTTTAAAGGAACCCTAAACCCTAAAGCCTAAACCCTTTAAAGGAACCCTAAACCCTAAAGCCTAAACCCTTTAAAGGAACCCTAAACCCTAAAGCCTAAACCCTTTAAAGGAACCCTAAACCCCTAAGACTCAAAAGACCTCCAGGCTCAGCAAGCAAGCGCAGGAGCCGCCGATCGGCCACACGCGCAGGCGCCCGGGGGCCGGGGCCCTTCAGGCTCCTTTTCAGGAGGTTTAGAGTTTAGGGTTTAGGGTTTAGAGTTTAGGGTTTAGGGTTTAGGGTTTAGGGTTTAGGGTTTAGGGTTTAGGGTTTAGGGTCGGGGGACTTAGTAACTGGTCATTTTAGGGACTTATAAGTACCATAACCCCAATTAGGGTCCCCTTTAGGGTACTTATAAGTCTACTTACTAAGTCCCCCGACCCTCCAAGTGGGGGCTTCAATAGCCTCAAAGAGGACTTGATAAGGTTTGTTAGGGAGGGGGTTGGGGGCTGTACCTAAGGACTTGATAAGGGTCTAATGGCCCTTATAGGCACATTTGAGGAAGTATAGTACCCTACCCCCCCTTCCACCTACCCCCTCTAAGGGTCCCCATGAACCTACTTCAGATCTTGATGCTGTCTTGACAAGAACAAGATGCTTGGTCATGCAAGAGTCCGTCAGGCTTCAAAGCTCCAAGCAAGATCCAACCAAACTCCAAACCCTCAGCCCTAAACCCCTTAGACCCCTGAACCCTAAACCCCAAGCCCCTAAACCCTAAACCCTGAACCATGAACCCTAAATCCTAAACCCTCAACCTTAAACCCTAAACCTTCCTAAACCTTAAACCCTAAATCGTAGATAAGAAGCCGACCTGGAGATTCGCCAGGTCTTCGCGGTTCGGATTCCGGCCGGGACCTGAGTGATGGACGGCAGAAATGAACAAAGCCTAAACCCAAATATTTATACAATAATTATAAATAAATCATTAAATCATGGTATAATTCACCATACTTTCCTCAATTACGGGGTGTTGATCTGGGAACCCTACTCTCCAAGGGTAAAAGGAGGGACCTTTAATAAGGACCCCTAGGTATAATATACCCTTAATATAGCCATTATATACCTATGATATAGCCCATTATAGGGTAGGGGTCCCTGGGTATATACCAGTATAGCTATTCTATACCTATTATATAGCCCATTGTAGGGTAGAGGTCCCCATTAAGGGTCCCTCTCCAGCGTCGATTTTGGTCCTCGCTCTCAGGAATTTGCTCTTTGCGGCCACCCCACCGCCCCTTGGCAACGACGCGGATCTTTCAATATCCTTTCATTCAGGAATATACCTTAATCATACTAGGATCCCTAATGTGTTTCACGGATATCCCTTCATTCAGGAATATACCTTAAAATCATTCTAGGATCCCTAATATGGTTTAAGGTATGTTGCTCAATTAAGGGATGTTGCTTGGAGGATCATGGGACTTAGTAAGTAAGGTTATAAGTACCCTAGTTGGATTATAAGTATAGCTACCTTATTTATATGTCCAGTTACCAAGTCCCATGATCCTCCAAGTGGAAGACATGGGAATGTTGGTTCGCTCAAGCTCGCCTTGCGGTGCCTGGCTTAGGCACGCGCGGCTGTGAGGCTGGCGTGGCCCTCCTTGGTATGTGGTCGACAGGGGTCCAAGTGCAAGACAAGGTACTGCAAGGCATGGCGATGTCCAAGAACAAACTAGAGCATGACATGGTATAGTACCTTATAGCATAGTATACTTTAATATCAGACAATATACCATAGTCCGAAATCAAACAGGGATTTGTCGAGGTTTCCTTGGCTCCCGGTCCGCAGCATGGCCTATACGCAGTTAGGCTCTCTGCAAGTTTCAGGAGTGCATGTTCCCTCGGTTTAACAGCCTCGATTGAGCTTGGCTGAAAAGTAGCACAGGTGCGACTGAGATTCCTGCATTGCTGTTTCCATGCTAAACTCTTTTCTTTGCCACGATGTGGTTTGTGCCTGTGCTGTTTTTGAAGTAGAAGTGTGCCGCTAGCTTATCGAAGCCGATCCTGCATCTTCCACGACCTCGTCGTTACATCCGCCACTTCTAGGCGGAGTCTGCCGGAGTCCAACCCTAAGGCTCAAAATGGCCCATAGATGCATCCTTAAGAACCCCTTATAGATACCCTTTAAGATCCCTTTAAATGAAACCTTAGAGCCTTAGGGTAAGCGCCAGGCAGCCATGACAGCTTTGATGCGTCAGCCCATCTCAGACTGCAGCCCGAAACACCGAACAACTTACCCTTGGTTAGTAGGGATCTATAGGGTTCCTTTAAAGGGATCTATAGGGGTTTAGGGTTCCTTTAAAGGGATCTATAGGGGTTTAGGGTTCCTTTAAAGGGATCTATAGGGGTTTAGGGTTCCTTTAAAGGGATCTATAGGGGTTTAGGGTTCCTTTAAAGGGATCTTTATCTTTGGTTAGTAGGGAATGGAGGAATGGGGTACAGTTACAACTACTATTACTACCATTCTTCCATTCCCTACTAACCAAAGGTAAGACAACGGACATTATTACTGTTCTTCATCACTAGAATTGTGATTGTTGTTACTGTTATCTTTGTTAGTAGTACTACTACTATAGTATCAACATGTTTGTTGGTATTATCCTTCTTCCCGCAACTATGATTCTGAAAACTTGGAGCTCAGGGCCCAGACTACAAGCGCCAGAGAACAGGGGCTCCTGGGAATTCCTCTGATCCTGGGGTCTGGAGACCGGTGATCACCGGGGGGTGTGGAATTCAAGGAAACGGGAGGTGAGAAAAACAGCACAGTCTGGGGCTCTGATCCTAAATGTCTCAGGGTTAGCGTTTAGGGATCAGGGTTTAGGGTTTAGGGTCCTTTAGGCAAGAAGTCTTCGTGTTGTTTAAAGAGTGTGGAGAGAGGCCGAGCGAGCGGCCCAGAGAAGATTTCGGCTCTCGGCGAGCCTTTCCTGCTTTGACACGCCCGGGTGCCTTTTGCGGCACTCTGCACATGGCCTTATCAAATTTTTTGAAACCTTGGGCTCTCAGCCACCTCGGGTGCCCGGTAGCATCATTCACAGAAAACCGGGAGCTACAGTTACCCTAAACCCCAAAAGCGTGGCTCGAGGTTGGTGTCGGGAGCCTGACAGAGACAGTCGAGGCATCATGTAACGGGCCCGGCTAAAGTCATCAGGGCCACCCTTTCACAAAGTTGCAAGGCGTGTGCAGGACTCCCTCAGCTAATGGCAGTGTGGAAGTTACCATAGTCGGAACTACCGTCAGAAGGCACCTTCGGAGGGATCGAAAAGGACAGCCCTTCCCCTCTACTATCCTTAAACCGTAAATCCCAAGACCCAAATGTCGTACACTGCCTCTTTCTTTCTCCCCGCAACGTGGGGAGAAACAGCGCGCGGGCCGCGAAGCGACCGGGTCATCTCCCCCAGGGTTGCCTTCGCTCTCGCGGCGATGTACAGCGGTAGCGCTCCACTTCCCTTAGCGTCCTTCGGACGATCGCGAGCTAAGTTACGCAGTGTTCATTGTAAGGCATTCGTTTTAATTTTGGATTCAGAATGACTCAGAGATCCGGGGAGTGAGTTTTGAGATATCCGGTAGAGCGCAGAGGGCACATGATGCGGATTTGGCGATCCTTTTGCAGCCCTCAGCGATACAGCCTGATCTGAAGCGAGCAAACATCGAGTGCCAGGTAGAGTCTCAAGGGCACCCCCTAAAACCCCTAAAACCCTAAATCCTAAACCCTTTAAACCCCTCAAACCCCTCCCCCTAAATCCTGAACCCGTGCACAGCTCCTCATCGTCACGCGTAGACTGCAAAGCGAGGACAAAGCTCGCGTCACTGCACGGGGCACCGAGAAGGAGGCTCGCAGTCGTATGCTGTATACAGTATACACTTTGTACATCATTCATACATATGTATGTGTATATACATATATATATACACACATACATGTAACAGCAATAGAATAAGAAAAAGAATAATTAATCATGGCAATAATAAGAATAATCATGAATGGGATATTACTGTAGGGGTTTCTCTGCTGCTAGGGTCAAGGAGTGCAGTGCTGGGCTTTTGCCGTCGCAGGTCGCCAAGTGCAAGCAGACTGTGGCTGGGGCCTCGGCGGAGCTTTCTACCAGGGTTTTTGAAGGGGCTTAGGGTTTAAGGTCTTTTGAGGGGATCTTTAAGGGATCTTTACAAGGGATCTATAAGGGTGATGTAGGCGCCTCAGCGGAGCTTTCTACATGAGTCGCAGCCCGACGTGTGCCCTCCCATGTAAGATCAACAAACCCTCGACCCTAAAGCCTACTCGGAGGATCATGGGATTTAGGGTTCCTTAAAGGGCTCCTTAAAGGGAGCTATAGTGTTCTTTAAAGGGATCTATAGGGTTTAGGGTTTAGGGTACTACTTGGAGGATCATGGGACTTAGTAAGTAAGGTTATAAGTACCCTAATTGGAGTTACAAGTATAGTTACCTTATTTATAACCCTAGTTACTAAGTCCCATGACTCTCCAAGTAGACCCTAAGCCAGCAAGCCCTAAGCCTCTAAACTCTAAACCCCAAAACCCCAAGACTTACGCCCTAAACCCTACGCTTATAGATCCCTTATAGATCCTTAATGGATCCCCGAACCCCGAACCCTAAGAAGCCTGTTCCCAGAGAGCCCAATACCCCTTAATTAAGGAATATAGCTTAAATCATAATATGAATCCCTTGATTATTTAAGGTATATTCCTTAATTAAGGGGTATTGGGCTCTCTGGGAACCCTAAGAAGCCTGTTTCCTGCCCAGAAAGCGGTAGTCGACGGCGCCTTGTCCCTGGCCACGTGCGGCACTCAAAGCGATTCACAGCCGGAAACGGACTGCATGGGGTTTACGGGGTTTAGGGTTCCCAGAGACTCCATACCCCTTAATTAAGGAATGTTCCTTAAATCATATTAAGGATCCTATTATAATTTAAGGGATATTGGAGTCTCTGGGTTAAGGCCCTAGGGGTTCCTTTCAGGGATCTATATGGGTAGGGTTTAGGGCTTAGGGGTTAGTCTATGCAGGTGAAACTTATACAGGTGTTGCACTCCACGACTACATGGGCAAATGTATCAGTGGTATGTGCATGCACAGATCTTAACGATAACTCATTGTGCCACTTGGGTGGTTGTCAAAATTAGGGTTCCTTTTTTGGGTCCATACTATAGTACGGCTTCTAATATTTAGGTTACCCAAAAAGGGACCATAATTTTGACAACCACCCACGACTGCTAGCTGCGATCTTGATGGGCGGGCTTTTTCTTCATGCTATCCCGCCAGGTTCCCCAGGGGCATGAACACTTGGAGGATCATGGGACTTAGGGTTCCTTAAAGGGCTCCTTAAAGGGAGCTATGGTGTTCTTTAAAGGGATCTATAGGGTTTAGGGTTTAGGGTACTACTTGGAGGATCATGGGACTTAGTAAGTAAGGTTATAAGTACCCTAATTGGATTTATAAGTATGGTTACCTTATTTATAACCCTAGTTACTAAGTCCCATGATCCTCCAAGCACGTCCGCAGATGGTAGAAGCGCGAGAAGCGATGTATCCGCACATAAAACAGGGGCGAATGAATCGGGTTCCCGAAGATAAAGCAAAAAAAGTAGAGTAGAACCCAATGAGCCCTTACCGGAACCCTGAACAAACCCTGTTCTACCAATTCAGGCCCCGACAAAACTGCCTAAACCCTAAACCCTGAACCCTATACCCCTTAAACCCTAAACCCTATACCCTTAAACCCTAAACCCTATACCCTTAAACCCTAAACCCCAAACCCTATACCCTTAACCCTAAACCCCAAACCCTGTACCCTTAACCCTAAACCCTAAACCCTGTGATGCCCTAGGCTGGGATCGCTTGCCGGGGTCAAGGGTCTCAAAGCAGCCGATGACAACGAGGCTCGGATTTCGGCTCGGCTAACTTACCTTCTAGGATGCCCAGTAGTACCCTTATTCCTTTTTTGTAGTCCTAGGTTCCTTATAAAGTTACCCAATACGAAAAAGAGAGGCCTTTTTGTTCTTAGGTTACTGGGCATCCTAACCTTTGGTTAGTAGGGAATTAAAGGGGCCCCATAAAGGGGTCTATAAGGGTTACCATAAGGGATCTATAAGGGTACTATAGTATAGGGGCCTTAATAATCCTATAACATACCTTTGGCTAGTAGGGAATGGAAGAATGATAGTCATCGTAGTTTTAATTGTACCCCATTCCTCCATTCCCTACTAACCGAAGGTAAGCTAAGGGACAGTCGGATACTGCAGCTGAATAATAATTGAAATGTAGGTAAATAACACTATTTGGGGGCAGTGCCCAAACAACAAGCGCGCTATAAGGAATGCGGTAAAGGGTAACTGTAGGGATACAGGGATGTTACATGAGATGCCTTTCACGATGCGATAGTAAGGGATACTGTAAGGCACTTTACGGTTGTTTCAAAAGGAAGCATGTTGTGTTTCGTCGCACATGTGACGATACTGCGAACGTGACAATGCCACCAAACCGTTGCCTCCCGTCCCTAAACCCCAAACCCTTCACCCTACACCCCAAGCCCGAAACCCTTAACGTGGCTGTGCAGGACGCTTCGCCCCCGCCTCCTCCAGGTCAGCGAAGGGACGACTGGTCTTAGGACGGGGCCAGGTCGAAGTTCAATCAGGCCGTTCTTGCAGAGCCCGATACCCTTGAGTCGTAACAGATACCGTCTAAAGCCTAAACCCTGTACAAACCCTAAACAGAACATATACCGTAAAATCATAGCCTCAAGGCTCTTGTTATTTGCTATGTCTTTCCTTCGTCAAGGGGTATTTCGGTTGCCTTATAGAATCCTTATGGGACCCTTCAAGGAACCCTACGATTTACGGTATATTTCGTTCTTTGGGTCTTGGACTCTCTGGGCTCCGATATCTCCAGAGAATCTTGTCACCACATTCTCAAACAATGTCTTACAATCCTGACACATATACATATACATATGCATGTCTACATATATATATATATCTATCTCTCTATATATATATATATACACATATATATATATATATATATATATATATATGATCTCGGGCCCCTGGCTGCTACACCCCCCCGAACCCCCACCCCCCCCCATGGTATCCCCTATGGCCCCCCCCTTCCCAAGGCTGTCTGCGACGACAGTCACAGGGACCGAGCTGGTTGGGGCCGCGATCCTCGTGACAGTCCTCGTTTTCAAAGGATGGGATCGACATCGCGATGTCAAACCACCACTTGCCGCCGGGATGGGGATGTGTTGGTGTCACGTTTCCCCTGACCCTCGCAAGTTTTTGACTTGCGGGGCAACTTCCAATATCGAACATGGCAGAAACAGCTGGCACGAGATTGTGCTTTGCCTGATTGTCTTTGTTTTTGCGGGGGCAGGTTGCAAAACACGCTTCGCACCAGAACAGAGCCCACCACCCTTACCGCAGGGGGGAGGCGGCGTCGGGCGTCAAGCCAACGCTCCGTGAGTGCACCAGAGCGACGGCTATACCACAGCGACAGGGATCGGCAACGGAAGTGTAGTAGCAATCCCAACGAGGATGACAACAACAACTAAGAAACAGCTGTAAGCATCACCAGAGGCACCACCAGAGAGGGGGGGGCGGGAGACAACGAAGCCAAGAGACCGGGAGCCCAAGCAAGACCACAGACACCACAGGGGGGGGAACATGGTTGGCGGGGGGGGGGGGGGGGGTATACCATGGGGTGGGGGGTGGCCCGGTATCATACATGTATATGTGTTGTGTTCTGTTGGCACCGGTGAAATGTGAGATGTTGAGAATTCATTTCGCGATTTTGCAGGTGCTTCCGCCACCCCGCCAGTGGGCTTGCCGGGACTGCCTCCTGGAGGGGTCGGCAGACTCGGCAGATTTCCTGTCACTCCCGAGCAATTTCCTGTCAGTCTGTATCGTGACGGACGCAGATGGGGCATACAGAGACGCACATGCAAAGAGCATGTTCTCAAGCAGTGCAGTCCACAAGTGCCAAGTGCCGGAAAGAACTTCTTCGCACGCGGAGGGCATCAGCTTCGTGGGGTTTCTTTGTCACAGATCGGGGTCAAGGGTTCCTTTTAAAGGGGTCTGTAAGGATGACTATAAGGGCTACTTTCAGGGTGTACTAGAGGGGCCTAAGAGGGGGAGGTGGGAAGGCTTCATAGTTTTAGCTTGCCATGCTCTGCGTTCGAAACCTTGCCGGACGCGAGCTCGTGACGTCGACTGAAGCGGAGGTTGCTGCCTTGGCCGATGCACATGGCAGTGTCATCAAGAGCCTTGAGCAGCTTCTATCCCCTCTTGTCGGCCAGCCATGCTTTCGACTGAAGCTCCTTTGCGGAGATGGTGTATTGAATGAAGATGATCCCTTGAAGCTGCCGCTTGAGTTGCAGGTAACCGTTTGTGACTTTGTCGAGTCGGATGCAGGCGACGTTGACCGGCTTTCAGACGCCAGTGAAAGAAATGACGCTGCTTTGGTTGAGGCCTTGCTGCGGCGCCCTCAAAACCCAGATTTGGTAGATTCCCGTGGTGAGACAGCACTGATAGCGGCCGCCCGTACTGGGGCGCTGGAGAGTCTCGAGCTTCTCGCGTCCGCATGTGCGGACCTCAACAAGCCTTGCGCGCAGACTGGTGCCACAGCTGTGTTTGCTGCAGCTAAAGATGGTCACCTTGCTGTGGTGCGCTTGCTAATTGATAAGGGTGCCCACAAGGACAAAGCGGCGAATGATGGTACGACTCCTCTCTTCATCGCAAGTAAGAGCGGTCACGCTGACTTGGTGCGCTTGCTGATTGCCGACAAGGACAAGGCAAATAAACGTGGGTCAACGCCTGTCTTGATCGCAGCTTACCAAGGTTACACCCATGTTTTGCGGTTGCTCATAGAAATGGGTGCCGACAAGGATAAAGCCACGTCCGACGGTCCAACACCTTTAATCGTCGCGAGTACCAAAGGCCACCTGGAGGTGGTGCGCTGCCTCATTTGGTTCACTGCTGACATCGACAGGGCAGCAAAGAATGGCGTGACACCTATCATTGAAGCAGCTGATCACCGTCACCTCGAAGTCGTGCGTTTGTTGATTGAGAAGCATGCCGACACGGATAGAGCAAGCAAACGCGGCTTGACGCCTCTCTTCCTCGCCAGTCAGAACGGTTACCTTGACATAGTGAGTTTGCTGATCGAGAAGGGTGCCGACAAGAACAAAGCCACCAATCAAGGCGCGACGCCTCTCGCCATTGCAAGAGGGAATGGTCACCTTGACGTGGTGAGCCTTCTGATCGAAAAGGGTGCCGACCACAAGGACGATGGTGCGACACCTTGGCGTGGTTCGCTTGCCAAGTGAGAAGGGTGCCGACGAGGAAGCAGCAAAGATCCACTGAATTTCTTCGCGTTTCCAAATCCTAAACCTTAAACCCTGTGTCGCTAAACCCCAAACGGCCGTAAACCCCAACACCCTAAAGCCTAGAACCCCCAAACTGACAAAATGAACAGAGCTCGGTGCCTTCGCCAACTTTAAGGCACCTCCCGCCGCAGTGCTGGCAGCGATGGCTGCCGGTCGACCCCCCTTGGGGGAGCGGCGCCGAGCGAGGGGACTTTCGGATTCTAGGGGGTCAGAGTTGAGGGTTAGGGTTTAGGGTTTAGGGTTAGGGTTTAGGGTTTAGGGTTTAGGGTTTAGGGTTTTGGTTTAGGGTTTAGGGTTTAGGGTTTAGGGTTTAGGGTTTTGGTTTAGGGTTTAGGGTTTAGGGTTTAGGGGTTATGAGGGTGACGATGATTGGTTGATGGGAGGAAGCATTCCAACCTGGCGAGGTGTTGCAGTGGTCATCACAAGGTGACGGAAAGGGTATCAGCATGTCTGTGTGGAAGCTTGGAAAGGTCCAAGAAGCAAGGAACATCTCTGAGGGGGCGCATTGTTTCGATGCTCTTGGACTACCTTCGTGGCCATCTTCTGCATCTCAAACTGCTGGAGTTTTTGTGGTTAGTGTAGGGGCCTAAATAACTACCAATACTGTTTTGGGGGGTCCCAATTATAATGAGTTATCGTATAATGGCTGAAATTCCGTTTTGGCGGCAATTGGCTTCACAAGGCTGGAGGGCTGCCCTTGCCGCTGCCACCAGGGCTCGCGGCTGCGGCGCGCACATTGGGGAAGGGAAGGGTGCCCAGAGCCTCCAAAACCCCTTAATTAAGGAATATAACCTAAATTATAACAGGATCCCTTCTATGATTTAAGGTATATTCCTTAATTAAGGGGTTTTGGAGGCTCTGGGTGTGGCAATGTGCCGGATTGTTGGCTAAGTTTCGCATGCGCAGCTCCGAGCGTTGGTTCGTGTAACTTTTACTGTTGAGAAGAGCAGGTGTTTCAAGAACGCAACAATGTGGGTCTCAGCATTGACATTAAACTTCACTTGTTCAGGCCGCAGCAGCTGTGCCCGGAATGCCCGGGGCCCGTCTGTGAGAATGGAGAGTGCAAGCGCAGATTCTTCCAGACTTTGGTCCAAGAGATGTCCTGGTTGTCTTTCAGTAAACCCCTACTTGGATCATGGGGCTTAGTAAGTAAGGTTATAAGTACCCTAATTGGAGTTATAAGTATAGTTTCCTTATTCATAACCCTAGTTACTAAGTCCCATGATCCTCCAAGTAAGCCCAAAGCCCCTAAACCCTAAGTCCTGAAACCCCTAGACCCTAAATCCAGCACTGAGGTCGGATAACCACCAGATGCAGGCAAACCTCAACGACTACTACGCAAGGCTTGACTGTGCTGCGGTCCGGTTTGTGAATGCTTCGGTCTGACACGACTTCCTACTGGAGCCTAAACCCCTAAGCCTTCAACTCCTCAAGCTCCACACCCTAAGCCTTAATTGCATCTTTTCTCTTTCCAGGTGGTGGACATCTTACGCGTTGGGGGAGGAGGACAACCAGGTCGCCTACCGGATTTGAAGCACGATCTTCGGACGTAGTTTGGAGGATCATGGGATTTCGTAAGTAAGGTTATAACAGTACCCTAAAAGGAGTCACAAGCACTTACAACTGTAGCTACATATTTAAATGTATCCTTAGTGTCGAAGTCCCTAGCCTTAAATTCTTAGAGATCCTCTTTCGATCCCTTTAAGGAGCCATTCAAGGAACCCTAGTTACAAAGTCCCATGATCCTCCCAGTAATCCCTAAACCCTAGACCCTTAAAGGGAGCCGTATCAAAGAACCCAAAAGTACCCTGAAAAGGAACCCTAAACCATGGGGTGGCAAACTCTTATGGTACCCCTAAAGATCCCTTTAAGGAACCCTTTGAGGAGCCCTCAAGGGAACCCTTTCTAGGAACCCTACGTCCCATGATCCTCTAAGAGAGCTTTCTCCGCGCAGGAAGACAAGCCCAAGGAGCAGCCCCTGGCCTTCGACAAGGAGGCAGTAGCGATTAGTACTCTCAGAGCCTCCGAAACCCCTTACTTAAGGAATATACCTCAAATCATATTAGGGATATCTTATTGCAACTTCAAGTATATTCCTTAATTAAGGGGTTTTGGAGGCTATGGGATTGGTAGTCTTCCCTGGGGTTCCTTGTTATAACTAGAGTATACTCCGATCAGAGCCCTGGAACCTCTGCATGGTACCGTTTCCTGTGTTGATTTTGTTGGAGATGTTGAAAAATCTTATCGGAGCCCTTTATAGCCTTATTCATGGGGTCTTGGATGCACAGAAACTCGGAATGCCGCAAACGACCAGTTACACCAAGGCCTGGCAATCGGTGCAAGCATCAAACCTGTGGAAAGCTCACTTGTGCATTCTTTCATAGGAGGCCAAAAGGTGTTTTAGCCTATGGGGGCTTAGTAGGGATTAGGGTTCCCATCATAGGGTTCATATTAATAAGGAATCCCTACCCCAAGAGTCTTAAACCTCCCTTTTGGCCTCCCATCATCCTTCCGATTCGGATCACCAGCTTCAGAGTTGCAAGCATAGCTACGCGCAAGACGCCCATGCGACCAGAACCCGGGCATCTATCCGGCGAAGACAGAATGCCGTGCCCCGCCTAGGCAGAAAGACGTGGTCCCGCGGGACCAATCTCAGCCCCATAACCAACAAATAAGGTAGCTGTACTTGTACTTACTAAGAACTCCAATCAAGGTATTGACAATCGTACTTCTTAAGTCCCATGATCCTCCAAGTGGGGAGATCGCAAGAGCAACACTGACGCCATGGCCCTGGCCTGCGCGGCCCCGGCCTGTGATGGCTGGTGCGAGAAGCACGAAAGTGCGCGCCTGGCCGCCAAGGCGCGGAAGAGAGGAAAGCCTAAGGAAGGCCTATGCAGCGTCGCGGCTAGAGGCGGCCAGAGCCCAAAAGAGAAAGAACGAGGCAGAGACAGAGAGAGATAGAGGCAGAGGAGGCGGAGAGGGAGAGAGGACGGGATGGGACACGCGAACGCGAGGGAGCTGGAACCCTAAACCCTAAACCCTAAACCCTAAACCGGATGAAGCCAGACAAATCCCTTTTCTCAGGAGTCGCGTCTCTTCGAAGCAGTGCAGCTCATCAACGCAGCGCTGGAGATGACTTACAGTAGAAGCCAGAAAGTTGGAATATCATTATCGTAACCCCTTTAAGGTAAATTATAGGGGATCCTACCATGAATCCATATTCCAACTTTCTGGAGTTCCCTATAAGAGAGCTTAATTATACTACGGGGTTTATATAGTACGGTTTAGGGTTTAGACCCTAGGCCCTATGCCCTCGCCCGAACTCAGCACTCTGATTGCTTCGCATCCCTCGAAGGAGTCCTTCGAACACAGCCTGGAACTGACGGCCACGGTAGAGGCTGGCGCCCGAAATCCCCTTGTCATCCCGACGGTCGGATAGCAATAACCCAGAGCCTCCAAAACCCCTTAATTAAGGAATATACCCTAAATAATAACAGGATCCCTTGTATGATTTGAGGTATATTCCTTAATTAAGGGGTTTTGGAGGCTCTGGGAACTAACATTCACATTTTACTTTACCGTCTGTGGCACCACTGTTGGGATAATAACTATTTTGATGATGACGCTTATTACCTCTTATGCTGTATTACGATTGTTATTCCTATCATGACTGTAATCGGGTCTCGCGTACTTCGTCACTCGACTTCATCTTCGTTACCTGGCAGGGTCTGCTTCTGACGGACCCTGGCCGCTTCGCTGCCGACACCTGGCCGAGCTGGTTGGATTCCTTCAAACTATCTCGAAACCCCAAACCCCAAACGCTACAGCCCTAAAACCCCACACCCCAAGCCCTAAAAGCCTGAGCCCGTAGATGCTGCTTCCTAACCTCTCACGACAGCGCGAAGAAGAGGGACTCCAAAACCCCTTGATTCAGCAGTAGACCTTAAATTTCAATGAGGAGCCTTAATGTGATTTTAGGTATACATTCTTAATTAAGGACTATACCTCAAATCTTAATTATGATCCCGTCTATGATAAAAGACTATGTTTCTTAAGAGAAGGGGTTTTGGAGTCTCTGGGTCTACAACCCTTACAGGAAGCCTTCAAGGAATCCCTACAAGAATCCTAAACCCTAAAGGAACCCTAGCGAAGCCTTGAAGGAACCCTAATTCGTAAACCCTAAGCCCTATACCCTAAATCGAAAAACCCTAAACCATAGAACCTTTAAAGAAGACCCCAATAGAAACCCCTGAAAAGAACCCTTATAGGGAAGTCGCTTGGAGCCCGAGGAAGCCGCAGGCTCCGTGCCGCCGGGACGCAAAGGCGACTTGGCACTCGGTCTTTAAAGGAACCCCCACAATTCCTTTAAGGGGTCTATAACGGATCTATATAGGGTCTATATAGGATCTAGAAGGGTAGGGTTTAGGATCTAATTGAGGTTTAGGAACCCTAGGTGTTGTTTACAGGAGCCCTAAAGGACACTTAGGGTTTAGGGGTTAGGGTTGATCGTTTAGGGTCTGAGACATGACGGCAATGAGAGGAGCAGCAGTAATAAATGTGCATCTAATAGTTGAAAGGTAGTAAAGTAATGTTAAAATTAAGGTAACAGTACGAAAATGTAAGAATAGGAGACTTGTAAGAGTAGTAAGAACAGTAAGAAGAGTAAGATTAGCAAGAATGGCATTAATCGTTTCCGGCCCTCAGTCGACCTGGCTGGCCTCTGGGCCACTCGTGCGGACATCCTCATGGGCCTCGGCGGCCTGAAACGCGCGGGAGGGGAGCTGCGGGCAGCGGCGCTGCTTGCGCCGGAGGCCGGGAGAGACATGAGGGAGAGGGGCTTCCTCTCAGGGTTCTTATAAGGGGTCCTGTAAGGGTTCTTGTAAAGGTTCTTACAAGAGTTCTTATAAAGGTTCTTACAAGGGTTCTTCTAAAGGTTCTTGGGTTCTTATAAAGGTTCTTGTAAGGGTTCTTATAAGGGGTCCTGTAAGGGTTCCTCTAGTGTTGCTACAAAGACTTACTTTTCGGGGTTACCCCACAAGAGCTAAGGGCTGCTACTTGGAGGGTCGAGGGACTTAGTAAGCAGGTAGTAAGTAGACTTATAAGTGCCCAAAAAAGGACCCTAATTGGGGTTATGATACTTATAAGTCCTTAAAGTAACCAGTTACTAAGTCCCCCTAAACCCTAAACCCTATACCCTTATAGAATCCCTATAGATCCCTTTAAAGGGGCCCTTAAGGAACCCCTTATAGTTACTAAGTCCCCCGACCCTCCAAGTAGAGGGTTGACGGGAACTGATATGCGCCACACAGTCTTGTGCCCAGAGCCTCCAAAACCCCTTAATTAAGGAATATACCTTGAATTACAACAGGATCCCTACTATGAGTTAAGGCATATTCATTAATTAAGATTGAGGGGTTTTGGAGGGTGCTTTCCGTATGTTTCGCTGAGACGTGCAGGAGGTCCGCGTCAAGGAGCTCTTAGCTGAATGCGAGAAGCTGCAGCAGTACCAGGACACCGTTAAGTGAATATACCGCCTTACAGCTACCCTAAGAGACACCTTCACAAGAGCATTTGTAAAACCTTTAATTAGTTGGAGCCCTTCTGAGAACCTGTTTACATCCCTAAGGAAGCCCGTAATAGAACCTTTGTAGATCCCTTGGTGGAACCCTTAACAGGAATCCCTTATAAGAATCCCTTTCAAGTAACCCTTTAATGGAACCCTTGTAAGACTTCCTTAAAGGAACCCGTATAACAATTCTTGCTTGCAGGAGCATGGGACTTAGTAAGCAAGGTTATAAGCACCTTAATTGGGGTTATAAGTAGTTAAAAGTATAGTTACCAAATTATAACTGTAGTTACTAAGTCCCATGATCCTCCAAGTAGACACTAAACCCTAAACCCCTATAGATCCCTTATAGAACCCTTTAAAAAGAACCCTTAACTGAACCCTTAAAGGAACCCGTATAATAATTCGTAGCATCCGCAGCTCTTTTTCTGCTCCTGGCTACAAGGAGGAGGGCTTTGCGGAGGATGCAGCAGCTGCAGCCCAGAGCAAGGCTCGATGCAGAGCTTGGTGTTTTAGGCTTATGTCTAGTGTTTAGGGTTTGGGTTTTAGGTTTTAGGGTTTAGTGTTTAGGGCTTAGGTTTTAGGGTTTAGGGTTTAGGTTTTAGAGTTTAGGGTTCAGGGTTTAGGGTGTTTGTCGGCGCCTGGGTGCGATCGGAGTGCGAAGATGCGTGCAGCAGCAGGCTGCTATTGTGCCATAGGCTTCGATTGCCAGGATCCTCCTTGTACCCTCAAATAGGGGTACATGGTCCCAAATAAGGGACTTTCAGGGTCTAATCGAGGGTAGATGAAGGGTCTAGCTACCTTTGCTTCAGTTGCTGGAATGAGATGATGCTTGTCCCTGTCCTCGTCTCCTATCTCTGATGTGCAGCTCAAGCTGTTTTGGCATACTTAAGAAGAAGAGGTGCCGGTGCACATCCTCACCGGTCACGTATCTGCATTGAGTGCTGAGCTGTCCGCTTTGCCGCTTGTCTTCTGCCGCTGATTTCCATATGGGAGTTTCCGAAAATAGGGGACCCTAATATGGTACCCTATATAGTAGGATCCTTATTATAAGGACCCCCAAACAAGGTACCCCTAATTTTCGAAAACTCCCATTTAGATTTGTAATGTTCGCTGAGGGCTTTGCATTGCAGAGCTCAGCCTGGTTCCTTTCGGTAGCCACCACCGCCGATGGAACCCGATGTGGGGGACAAACCGTGCATTCATGTGGGAGGTCCCTTGTTTTCGGAAACTCCCATGTAGTGTGGTCTTTCTTGGCAACTTCATTCATCCAGCACGGCCCTGATCGGAAGGCGTCCGTGGCTCGCTCTGTTTGTTTTGTGCCGCTTTCAGACCTAGGCGGCGGCCATGCCATCTTGATATCCCTTCACTTCCCTATCTTCCCTATCGTAGAATCTTAGAAGGATTGGGGTTTAGGGTTTACTTGGAGGATCATGGGACTTAGTAAGTAAGGTTATACGTACCCTAATCGGAGTTCTAAGTATAGTTACCTTATCTATAACCCCAGTTACTAAGTCCCATGATCCTCCAAGTAGGGTTGGAGTTGGAAGCCTTCTTTCTGCGTCTGAACTGACCCAGCTTCTGCCATCCAAGGTTTTCTAGGGTCTGGCAAGACCACCTTGCTGAACCATATCTTGAGAGCTGCGCAGCTGCATTAGATGCAAGTCCATACCTTAAAATCTACAGCCCCGAGCCCTAAACGCTGAACCCTGAGCCCTAAAACCACACAAGAACACCATAAGGTTTCAGATGTAGGGTTGTTTGTTGCAGTTTTTTTTCTCTTAGGGGTTTAGGGTTTAGGGTTTAGGGTTTAGGGTTTAGGGTTTAGGGTTTAGGGTTTAGGGTTCCTTGTCCCACAAGTTTCTCGGTCAAAGGAGTCGCATACGAAGCGGTATGCGGTCATCGAGAGCCTCGGACGTGATCTCTTGAGGTGCACGCTCAGCCCTGAACCCTACTTGGAGGATCATGGGACTTAGCTACTAGGGTTTCTTAAAAAGGGCTCCTTTTTAAAGGGTTCTATAAGGGATCTATAGGGGTTCAGGGTTTAGGGTCTACTTGGAGGATCATGGGACTTAGTAGTTAGGGTTATAGATAAGGTAACTATACTTATAACTCTAATTAGGGTACTTATAACCTTACTTACTAAGTCCGATGATCCTCCGAGTAAACTCTGCGTTGATGTGCCCTCTCATTCAGATCCAATCCTTGCATCGCCTAGGCCTAGAATCGAATAGAGTATGCAACTTGAAAGAGCCGCCCACCCTAAACCCTAAACCCTAAACCCTAGCCGCCTACCGTGTAGTCGCACTGGCCGCTGGAAACTTAAAAGAGCTTCTAGGCTGTTACGATGAATCTTCGGCACACGCAGATCGTCCAAGATCCCTGGACTAAGGAATATACATAATTTTCGTAGGATCCCAAGTATGGTTTAAGGTATGTTGCTTAATTGATGGATTTCGGAAGATCTGGCCACCCACCCAGGAATGAGTTTGGCGAGATCGGCATTGACGACAAGCTCATCGCACGCAGGGAAAGCCTGGGTGCAGAGCAGATCATCGAAATGAACAACGGCTGCATCTGCTGCACCGTTGCGGCCTCAGGCACCTTTGGGGAGTCTCATATTTGGCTGCTTGTGGTGCAAGATCCCTGTCAACACGAAGGTGCGCGGTGATCTCATCCAGGGACTCAGGACGGGACTCCTGACACTCTGAACTCCAAACCCTGCCCCGACATTCCACTCACGCCATGCAGACTCAGACCCACTTTGTGCTTGGGGCAGGAGCATCTTGAAGAAGACCTCCCTGGAAGGCACGAAGCTGGACGGCGTGATCATCGCAGCTCGGCCGAGCTGCGGTAAACAACCAACGCCCCGAATCCCCAACATTCCGAGTCCCCAAAACCCAAAACCCCGCTTTAGGGTTGAGGTTTTATTTGTTTCTCTGTTATAACCAGGTGACTACATCATGGCGCAGGCAAAAAGTGATTTGCTGGTATACCGCACATTCTATGCTAGACCCTAAACCCTAAACCCCTAAACTCTAGAATCTAGATATGCTAGACACTAAACCCTAAACCCCTAAACTATAGAATCTAGATATGCTAGACCCCAAACCTAAACCCCTAAACTATGTGGTTGATGATATAAATCTTGCATTACTTTAATGACCCTAAACTATGGGAATTGTGGTATATTCCTTATTATGGGTCATGCAGGGTTTATATCATCAACCGTAGCATCTAGATATGCTAGACCTTAAACCCTAAACCTCTAAACTATAGAATCTTGATATGCTAGACCCTAAACCCTAAACCCCTAAACTATAGAATCTAGATATGCTAGACCCTAAGCCCTAAACCCCTAAACTTTAAAATCTAGACCAAGCCCCTAAGCCCAAACTCTTGAGCCGAAAACACTACACCCTGCACTGACTGCAGTGAGAAAAGGAGCCCGCAAGCAACCAAAAGCTTCCACGCTTCTCTAAAGTGTTCCTAAGCCCCCAAACCCTAAACCCTAAGCCCCTAAACCCTAAGCCCTAATTTCCTAAATCCCTAAACCCTAAACCTTAAACCCTAAACCTTAACCTTAAACCCTAAACCCCTAAACCCCCCAACTCACCAAAAGAAACCCTAAGCCCCCAAACCCTAAACCTTAAACCCTAAACCCCTAAACCCCTAATGCTTAACTCACCAAAAGAAAACCAAAGCCGAGGAGACCACCGGGCTGGCGGACCCGGCTCCCGTGGCGCAGACCTTCTTCGCCGATGACGTGATCCAGTCGAAGATGCTGTTGGCCGGGGTGTGGGGAGTTCTTAGGGTTTAGGGTTTAAGGGTCTAGGGTTTAGGGGTTTAGGGGTTTAGGGTTTAGGGTTTAGGGTTTAGGGTCTAGGGCTTAGGGGTTTAGGGGTTTAAGGTTTAGGGTTTTGGGGAGTTCTTGGGGTTTAGGTTAGGTACGGCCCCCACTCAGGAATAGTTGAATAATATTCATAATGTAGATATAGTAGGACCCGAAGAGTAGCCCTATTGTAGACTCTTGTTGTAATTATGGGCGCCGTACCTAAGGTTTAGGGTTTAGGGTTTAGGGTTCCTGTAAAGGATGGTATAGTCTTATACAAGGGTACTATAAGGTTTAGGGGTCTTGTAAAGGTTCGTTTAAGGGTTCCTATACTCTTAGAAGTGGTCTACAAGGGTGCTATAAGGTTTAGGGGTTAAGGGTGTAGGGGTTTGCAAGCAAGACGAACACCGAGATCATCGGCTTACTCAATCCTTGGCTTTTTGCGCATGTCATGCATTAGGATAGGCAAGAAAAGAGTTTCATGTTAGGTACTGCCCCCATACAGTAAGAGTCTATAGTAGGGCTACCATGAAGGTCCCAATATATCTATATTACGAGTATTTGTCAGCTATTACTGAGTGGGGGCCGTGCCCAAGTTTCGTGATTCCACACTCAGCTTAAAGTGAAGGAGGAGAGCCTCCCGCCTGCAGTAGATACCCGAAGCCCTCTCTTCCAATCCCTCTTGCCTCAAAACCATCTCTTTCTGATTTTGTGGGGCTTTCAGGAGCCTCCAAAGCCCATGAACTCAGTTATTAGGGATCCCAGTATGATTTAAGGCAGAGTCTCTAGTTAAGGGGTTTTGGAGTGTCTGGGTGTCAGGATGGAGTCATCACCATGATCACCCTAAACCCTAACCTAAACCCTAAACCCTAAACCCTAAACCCTAAACCCTAAACCCTAAACCCTAAACCCTAAGTCAGGATGGAATCATCACCATGATCGACGCCAAGCACGCTCTGCAGCACCTCCGCGAGGCCCCTTTTCATAGGAGGCCAAAAGGGGCTTTAGCCTATGGGGGTTTAGTGCGGGGTTAGGGTTCCCATATTAGGGTTCATACTAAGGAATCCCTACCCCAAGAATCTTAAACCCCCCTTTTGGCCTCCCATCACCTTTTTTCAGGGACGGGGAGGATGTGCAAGAGGGTCTTAAGGGTGGAGTGTGCTCAGAGCCTCCAAAACCCCTTAATTAAGGAATATGCCTTAAATTATCACAGGATCCCTCATATGATTTAAGGCATATATTCCCTAATTAAGGGGTTTTGGAGGCTCTGGGTGTGGGTTATTAAGCTTTAGGGTTTCGGTCTTGATGGTGCGGGAGTTTGGTTTGGGGTGCGGGGGTACCCTAAGCCCTACCCCCCTAAACACCTAAATCCCTAAACCCTGAACCTAAAATCCCGAAACCCTAAACCCTAAACCTAAAATCCCGAAGCCCTAAACCCAAAACCCTAAGCCCTAAATCCCCAACCCGTTCTTCGGTGGCAGGAGAAGCCCGAAGGTGTGGAGAACGAAGCCGTGGAACAGGTCCCGTGGGACCGGGTCGCTGGCGCTGTTGCAGCTTTCATATCCCTGTAACTTGGAGGATCATGGGACTTAGTAAGGTTATAAGTACCCTAACTGGAGTTATAAGTATAGTTACCTTGTTTATGACCCTAGTTACTAAGTCCCATGATCCGCCAAGTACTACACTGTACTGTAGTGTGTATGATAAAAACCTATATTAAAAATCTACTACATGATGCTACAGTGTGTTCTAATATACCATAACCTACCATCACGTACTATGACATACTATAAGCTGCCGTCGTGTACTATAACCTACCGAAATATACTATAACATATTATACTACAATATACTATAGACTATTATAGTCTACTGGACTTCATCCCAAGTCCACATCTGACAAAGGTGGCTTTCGCCGACCGCATCATCATCAACAAGACCGACCTCGTTGCTTCGGAGGCGAGCTCCCTTGCCTTAAGGTCCCTTATAGTAGTCCCTGTGATCGTCCCTTAAGGTCCCGACTGTAGTCCCGTCCCTGTAGTAGTCCCGGGACTATGATGGTATATTAAGGTAACTTATAGTAGTGCTTGTATACAATTCCCCCATTTCGTAAAGCCTAAACCCTTTGATGGTTCCTTACAGTCGTCCCTATTTCCCCCATGTCCTACTCAGAAGAACCCTTGTAGATCCCTTCAACGAACCGCAAAAGCCTACAACCCATTCCCCATTCCCGAAACCCTAAATCCCATGATGGCCCCTTATAGCCGTCCCTATAACCTACCCTATAGAAACCCTTAAAGCCCCCAAAAAGGGACCCCAAATGTAGAGAACTCCCTTACTGAAAGTGCTAGTGAGCTCCCGGTTGCTTCGGAGGCAGAGATCCAAAAAGACCTAAACCCATTTTAGAGGTCAGGGTTGAGGGTGTAGGAATCCCTGGCAAAAGTTGTCCTGATACAGTATATACTTGGACACTAAAGCACCGGTACAGGAACCCCTGTAAAGCCGAAGTAGATGCTGTACAGGAAGCTATAATAGTTCCTTATAGTAGTCCCTATAACCCCTTGCTAAGAGCCTTTGTAGATCCCTTATAGTAGTCCCTATAAGGGAGTTTCAGAAACTTTTTCGGATACCTTACTAGGGGATCCTTATAATAAGGATCCTACTATTTAGGGTACTGTATTAGGGTCCTTATTCTCGGTACTTTATAGAAATCCCTATAACCCTCTAGTAAGAACCCTTATACATCCCTTGCCGTAGTCCCTGATAGTAGTCCCTATAAACCCTTACTAAGAACCCTTGTAGACCCCTTTTTGTAGTCCCTTGTCGTCGTCCCTATAACCCTCTCGTATGGGACTTAGTAAAAGAGTAAAAGAGGTTATAAGTACCCTCATCGAGCATAGTTACCTCATTTATAACCCTGGTTACTAAGTCCCATGATCCTCAAAGTAGACCCTAAACCCTAAAACCCCCATACATCCCTTATAGAACCCTTTAAAAGGAGCCCCTTAACCTTCCTTGAGGCAGAGCTTCAGGAGCTGACCGAGGAGATCCGGAGCATCAACCGCCTGGCGCCCATCCTCCGCACGCAGCCGCTGGGATCTGCCAAGGAAGCCCCAGAGATCCCAACACCCTTTCACTAAGGAAAACTTGAAGGGCTCCTGAAAGGGTTCCATGGGGGAATTAAGGAATATACCTTAAAGCATAATAGGATACCTGTTATGATTCAGGGTATATTCCCAATTAAAGGCGGCTGGCATTTGCCAAGGAAGCTTCGCAGTCTAGAGTTTAGGGTGCCTGTAAAGGGGCCTCTACTTGGAGGGTCGGGGGACTTAGTAACTGGTCATTTTAGGGACTTATAAGTACCATAACCCCAATTAGGGTCCCTTTTAGGGTACTTATAAGTCTACTTACTACCTACTTACTAAGTCCCCCGACCCTCCAAGTAGGGGTTCCTTTCAGGGTTCTAGACCCAGCGATCTCCAAACCCCTTCATTAAGGAATATACTTTAAAGTGGTAATAGGATCCCAGAGGGTATATTCCTAATTCAGGGCCGCTGGTGGGCTCCTATAAAGGGGGCTCATGAAGGGATCTCTGGGGTTCCTTTACGGGATCTATAAGGGTTTTAGGGTGGTACTTGGAGGATCATGGGACTTAGTAAGTAATGTTATAAGTACCCTAATTGGAGTTGTAAGTATAGTTACCCTATTTATAATCCTTGTTACTAGGCCCCATGACCCTCCAAGTCGAGGAGGTTCAAACAGGGAGTTCAGGGTGCGGGCTCATCTTCTGGCTGGTCGACGCCTACAGTAGAAGCCGAAAAGTTGGAAACCCCATAGCCTCAATCCTTAAGAGTAATGTACAGGGAATCCCAGCACTATTTGGCCTCAATCCGGTGGCTTACTATAAAGCACAAGCCCGAAGCCCTGACACCCCGAAAGCCCTGAAACCTAAACCTTATACCCCGATTCCCCTACCCGGACCCCAAAAGTATGTAGAATAATAGTCTTTTATGGGTATTGGGCCATTGTTTTACCTATTTGTGGGGGGTTCAGGTAAGCCCAAAACTCTCAAAACATCTGCAGCCCAGGAATTCGAAGGTTGACTTGGATGAGATCATCGGCATTAAGGGCTTTTCGTTGGACCGGGTGCTTGAGGTGCCCAGCTGACGCTTCCGCAATAGTGTTTCAGGGTTTAGGGTTTAGAGTTTGGTGTTTAGATTCAGGGTAAACCCTAAACCCTACACCGAATTCCCTCAGAGGGTTGCTACAGGGTCGTGAGGGCCCGGAGTGGGTGCCCCGACGGCTTGGAGGCAGACTCCGAGTTTCTGAAGGACGAGCAGGACCACCAGCACGACCAGACGGTGTGCTCGGTGCCCTGGCGAGTAGGGTGGCAGGGGGGGGGGGGGGGGGGGGGGGGGGTTTAGGGTTGAGGGAGTCCCTTTAAAGGGGGTCTATAGGGATTCTATAAGGGTATAGGGTTGAGGGCCTTCTTGGAGGTTCACGATTCTTGTCATATTTATTCTTATCATTAGTTTTTAAGATGATTGTGAACATTATCGATACTAAAAACGGGTAGTTATAAGTAGGGTTATAAGTAGGGTAACTATACTTATCATCCATATTAGGGGACTGATATTTCCCTACTTAAAACTGCCCCTGAACCTCCAAGTAGGGTGTTTAGGGGGGGGGGGGGTTAGGGTTTAGGGAATTTGGGGTTTGGAGTTTGGAGTTTAGTTTAGGGTTGGGGTTTTTTTGGTTCAGAGTTTAGAGTTTAGGGTTTAGGGTTTAGGGTTCAGAGTTTAGGGTTTAGGATTCAGAGTTTAGGGTTTAGGGTTTAGGATTCAGAGTTTAGGGTTTAGGATTCAGAGTTTAGGGTTTAGGGTTTAGGGTTTAGGGGTGGTGATTCGAGGCCCTTCGGCGGCGGCTTTTTTGCTGAGCTCAGGTTGGCATCGAATGCCCTGGTGAGTGCGACCAAGTGAGCCTCTTGACTCTCCAAATACACTCTTCTTCTTCTTCTTCTCACACTTCTTCTTCTTAGTACTCTTATTCTTACCATTCTTCTTCTTCTTCTTCTTAGTATTCTTATTCTTATCATTTTGATTATTATCATTATTATTCTTAAGATTTTTGTTAACATCATTGATATTTTAATATTAGTCTTATTGTTATGAACTGGAAAATTACTAGAACTAGTAGAGCCAGCGGACGTACGACGGCCTGAGCTCACTTTCCGGCAGGGCTCAATGAGTGGATCGCCAAGCTCTTGATGGAACGCGGCACGGACATCTTCCGCACCAAGGGCGTCCTGGCGGCTCCTGGGCAGGAGATGGGTACTTTGATGGAGACATACAATACAGCACAATACAGTACAAGATCATGCAATGCTGTAATTACAGGGTAATACTCTACAGTACGAAACCATACCATACCATACAATACTAGATAATACAGTACAATACTATGCAACACTATACAGTACTATGCAGTACTATACAATACTAGACAATAGTACTAGAGAATTCTAGACAGTACTTAATACTATGCAACACGATACGATGCTGTTCTTTACTATCCCATGCTACAGACCATATACTACATTTCTCATACTATCGGTTTTTGAACATATACTAAACACTACGTATATGCTGTGTATTAAATGCAATATACTACAAACTATACACCATCTATTCTCTACGTACTTGCACTATGCACTACAGACTATATGCTATACACTATACACTGTACACCATACACCATGAACTGTACACCCTTCGCTATACTATACTAGATAGCCCCACCGACTCAGGTGAAAGGCAGCGACCAGAAGTTTGTCTTCCAAGGCATCCACATGCCACTCGGCGCTTGCGCAGTCGATCAGAAGCAGCCACCGACATGAGAAATCGAAAGCTTCAAACAGAAAAATGGCCCCAAAGCCTTTAAAGCCCTAGAGAAAGGAGCCCTTGAGGGTTTCTCTAAGGGCTAATGTAACGGGAACCCCAAAAGCAAAAGATTTTCCCTAAACCCTATCCCTAAACCCCTAAACCCCTGAACCCCTAAAGCCTTAAACCCCTAAGCCACTAAGCCCCTAAAGCCCTAAATCCTTAAACCCGAAGCCACTAAGGCCCTCAACCCTATGGATCCTTTAAGGAGCCTTAAACCCTACGGATCCGTTAAAGGAGCCCTAAACCCCTCAACCTTAAACCGCTAGACCCTAAACTCCAACACCCCCAAACCCTAAACCCCTAAAGCCCTAAAGCCTTAAACCCGAAGCACCTAAACCCCTCATGGGACTTAGTAACTGGGGTTATAAATAAGGGTAACTATACTTATAACCCCAGTTACGGTACTTATAACCTTACTTAAGGAGTCCTTTAAGGAACCGTAAGTCCCATAATCCTCCAAGTAAACCCTAAACCCCAAACCCTAAACCCCTATAGATCCCTTATAGAACCCTTGAAAGGAGCCTAAACCCCTAAACCCCTGAAGCCTTAAACCCTAAACTCCCTAAACCCCTCAAGCCCTCAACCCTATGGATCCTTTAAGGGGCCCTAAACCCTACAGATCCGTTCAAGGAGCTTTAAACCCCTCAAAGGATCTTCGGCGGCCAGCCTCAAGAGACTTGGCCCCCTGGGCCAAAAAGCGAGCGGCTGAACCAGCCCGGGCCCCGAAGGGTTTTGGATTTAGGGTTTAGGGTTTACGATTTAGGGCCCCCATTGAGGGTTTTTCGGATTTTTAGGATTCAGGGATTTAAGGATTTCACGTTTTTTTTATATTTTTTTGTGGGGTTTTTAGGATTTAGGGATTTAATGCTTTAGGTTTGGGGCCCGGGCTCCAAGTTGAGCCCGACATGGCCCAGGGATTCAGGGCTTTAGGAACTTTAGGGTTGCACGCGGTTTAAGAGTTTTGAGGTAGGGTTTAGGGATTTAGGGATTTAGGGATTCAGGGGCTTTGGGGTGTAGGATAGAGGATTGTGGGTTTTCAGGGTTTTTAGGGTTTCGGATCTAGGGATGTCGGGTTTACGTTCCCGAAACCCTGCAGCTGCTTCTTCTTGTTCTTGGTGGCTGAGGCGCTGCAGCCCTTGTAAAGAACCCGTAGAAGAACCAAGTAGTGACCCTTACGGGAACCCCGAAAGCAAGCCTACCAAGAACTAAAGCATACCTGTGGCCCAAGAGACCTACCTTTTTAAGGAACTTTATATAGAAACCATAATAAGGAACCCTAAAAAGGGTAGGTCTCTTCGGCTACAGGTATACTCCCTGAACCTGGAACCAGACTCCCCAAAGCCTCAACCCGACTCCTCAAGCCCCAGTCCCTACCTGGAGGGTCGGGGGACTTAGTAACTGGTTATTGGAGGGACTTATAGGTACCATAACCCCAATTAGGGTCCCTTTTAGGGTACTTATATGTCTACTTAGTACCTACTTACTAAGTCCCCCGACCGTCGAAGTACTGAATGCTGACGCCTGAAGCCTAAACCCTATGATAGTCCGTTGTAGCAGCCCTGTATATAGTATCTCTTTATAGTAACCTGTAACCCTTTTAACGTACAGTAAACCCCATAAAGTTGGAAACCGGATTAAGGCCAAATAGTGCTAGCTTTGGGACATTTTACATTTGCTCTTATCGGGCTTAAGAGGATCTTACCTATTAGCATTTTTCAATGGCTTTAGAAGCACCTCCTAGAGTAGCCCTTCTAGAGATCCTGCCTTAAGCGTGGGGCGCATCCTGGGCTTCTTGGCCAGGTTGGTCTTCATCGGCCGGCACCTGAGCCGGGCGGAGCTGGAGAGTGGCTTCAAGTCCACCTTGGCCTGAGGCCGGGTAAGCGTATAGTATAGTATAGCATTATAATATTATGGTATAGTGTTATGGTATAGCATTATAATATTGTAGTGTTATAGTATAGCAATATAGTACAGTGTTACAGTATCGCATTATAGTACAGTGTTATAGTATAGTACAGCCGAGTTATAAGAGTTTTTGGCAGGTGCGGGCTTATATGGTCTTGTGAAAGGTTCTACCGGGTTTTGCAAGGTGAGCTTCTTTTTGAGTCCAAGTTTCTCTAGGGTTTTGGTGGAGTTTTGCAGAATCTTCGGTGAGACCTCGCGCCCCTGACAGCCGAGGCTTTTGGATCTCGCGTGCTCATCATTTTCTCCGCCTGTGGAACTCCGCACGACTGCGAGACACGGTGCTGACAAAAAAGGGTGCGATATAGTGTAGTAGTATGGTCTGGTATAGTATAGTATGGTGTATAGTATAGTACAATATTATGTATAGTATAATATTATGGTCTGGTATAATATAGTATGGTATATAGTATTTTATAGTGTGATTCGAGGTCTTGGTGCTTAGTCGGAAAGTACCGATGTTTGAGGTGGACTCTCGACACGTCTTTTCGCAGGCGGTTGCTGTCCCGTCACCCATACGAGTTCAGCATCTTAAGGTTCGGGGATCATGTGCGCATGTTACTCGGGTTTTCTGGAATCGCAGCAGATTCTACTGCCCGGACATTGCTGGTGTCACGTGTGCGTCCCGGGCACACAGCTGAGGATAACCAGAAACGCCCAAAACCCCCAAACCCTGAACTACTCAACCCAACCCTTGAAGCTCAAAAGCCCCACTGCCCAACCCCTCTAATGTAGGAACCTGATTGAGAAACCCTGGGCTCATAACCTCAAAATAGTAGGATTCATATAAGGAACCCAAATAAAGACCCAAGGTTTCTGAATCAGGTTCCTACAATACCCTTAAGCCCCAAGAACCCTAAACCCCAAAACCCTACTTGGAAGGGCAGGGGACTTAGTAAGTAGGTGATAAGTAGAGTTATAAGTACCCTAAATAGAGTTACCCCAATTATCACCCTACTTATAACCTACTTACTAAGTCCGCTGCCCCTCCAAGTAGACCCTGAACCCTAAACCCTTATAGATCCCTTATAGAACCCTTTTAAAGGAGCCCTTTACGGAACCCTTTAAGGAACCCTTATAACCCTACTTACTAAGTCCGCTGCCCTTCCAAGTATACCTAAAGAAGTCCCCCGGTCTCCAGGCGCTCCAAAGGCTCGCGGACCGAGCTCAGGCCGGCGACATCGAGGAGCCGCCGGGGGCCCAAAAGAGAGGAGAATTAGGGATACCTTAAGGTTACTATAAGTGACCATAAGCATACTACAAGGGTGCCTTTAAAGGGGTCTCTAAGGGTTTAGAGTTACCGACAATTAGAGGTACCTTATTTGGGGTTCCTATCACAGATCCTACTATTTGGGGTGCTATATTAGGGTCCCCTATTTTCGGAAACGCCCATATAGAGCTGTAGTAGTGTCATTAGACTAGAATATACTTCACATATATTGTACTACAGTGTAGTATAGTAGTACTTCGTTTTACTATACTATATACTTTCGACAATATACAGTAGTATGATCTAGTCTACTATCACTGTTATACTGTAACAGTATACTTGGAGGATCATGGGACTTAGCAAGTAAGGTTATAAGTACCCTAATTGGAGTTATAAGTATAGTTACCTTTTTTTTACCCTAGTTACTAGGTCCCATGATCCTCCAAGTAGACCCCAAACCCTAAATCCCTAGATCCCCTAAAGAAGCCTTTAAAAGGAGCCCCTTAAGGAACCCTTTAAGGAGCCCCCTAAGTCCCATGATCCTCCAAGTAGGGCGCTATGTGATTTAGAGCACACTTCGCTCTCAGGTCCCAGAACGACGGCGCCGTCGCCTCCGATGCGCCTCAGCCTCGGAGCCAAAAGCGGCAGCTCAAAGGGACGCGGAGGTCCCAGAGACTCCAATATGCCTTAATTAAGGAATATACCTTAAATCATATTATGGATCCTACTATACTTTAAGGTATATTCCTTAATTAAGGGATATCGGAGTCTCTGGGGTCAGCTTCACCTCAGCGGCTTCTTCAGAGCTGTGCACTTGCCATATGGGGGCCTTCATAAGTCTTGGGGGTGTATACTATGCTAAATTCAGCTCGCGGCCCTCGCCTCTTCCTCCTGGATATGGGAGTTTCCGAAAATGGGGGACCCTAATATGGTACCCTAAATAACAGGATCCTTATTACAAGGACCCCCCAAAAAGGCACCCCCAATTCTCGGAAACTCCCCTGAAGAGGATCTAGAAAGTAGATCCCCTAATTCGGGGCCCTATACACTAAGGTTGCTGTATAGGAGCCCCATTAAGGGATCTACTTTTCGTATTTTTTTGGGGGGTCTGGGTAGCCTATTCCCCCATTCCTTGAACTGATAGTCCACTAGAGTCGTTCCTATAACTCCCTACCCTGTAGAAACCCTTCTATCCAAGGGTAAAAGGAGGGACCCTTAATAAGGACCGCTAGGTATACACCCTTAATATAGCTATTATATACCTATGAAAGGACCCATCATAGGGTAGGGGTCCCCATTCTGGGTCCCTCCTTTTCCCCGTTGACTAAACTAAACCCTAAACCCTAAACCCTATAGATAGATCCCTTCAAAGGGACCCTTATAGATCCCTTTAAAGGAACCCTAAGAGCCTAAGGGTCCCTCCTTTTCCCCCTTTGATTTAAGGAACCCCTGAGACGGGACCCTAACTTTAGAGAGCTGCCCAGCTTCCCAGAGACTCCAAAAACCCTTAAAAAAAGGAATATACCTTAAATTATAATAGGATCCCTAATATGATTTAAGGTAAAGTCCTTAATTAAGGAATATACCTTAAATTATAATAGGATCCCTAATATGATTCAAGGTATAGTCCTTAATTAAGGGGTTTTGGAGTCTCTGGGTTCCGCGCAGGCCAGACATTCCTCCGGGCGAGCTGCCCCTCTCTACGCAGATTGCCTTCGGTCCCGCCAGGGGCTCGAAAGGAAGTTGTATTTGGAGGATCATGGGACTTTCGTAACTCGGGTTATAAATCAGGGAAGTTTAGCTATATTTACTCATAGCTCTAATTCCGGTATGCATAACCTTACCAAGTCCCATCATCCTCCCAGAAATCTTCTGTCCGGACCTTCGCATGGGGGTTTCTGGCTCGAAGAAAGCGGTCGCTCCCAGGGCACTTTGGAGGAGCGCGCGGTCGCAGAGGCCGTTCCGAGTGTGATCCCTCTCTTGCGATCTTGCCTGTCACCGTGAAGCTTAAAGGCTTAGAGTAACCAGGAAACCTTTAAACATGTGAATCTAACGGAATTTCGGGGTCATATCCCATACTTTAGAGGTGCATTGGTTACTCTAGGCAAACACCTTAACATTCGGATTATGTTCTATGGTTGGCCGTTGCAGTCTTTTCGGGGTCGTTGAACCTGCCTCGGCTGAGCAGGTGCGGGTCATTCTCGGCCTGCCCGGCACTGCTCTGGCAGGAGGGTCGAGGGCTCATTTTCTCGGACGAAAGTTCGGGCGAGAAGACGTGACGTGCCAGATGGAGCAAACAGTCTTCCTGCAAGCGTCCATGTCGTTTCGTGGACAGGTCTGACAGGGGTATGTCGGTACCGGCGGACAGCTCAGCAAACTGCTTGGGAATGGAGACGCGAAGACTTTCTCGAGCCATCCATAACACAGACATCGCAATGATATTCTATATATACATATATATATATATGTATAAACATATATATATATATATATGTATATATCCCGGCCCTTTCCTTGATTTTATTCGGTAGCATCGTTTTCGTTTCAAGCTTGCCCCGATCGAGTCGATCAGGCACCACCTTCTGGACCAACTGCCCGGCTCCTGGTTGAAGGGGATCCTAAACCCTAAACCCTTAACCGCAAACCCTAAACCCTAGACTCTTACCTTAAGACTCTTAACCCTAAACTCTAGATCCTAAACCCTAAACCTTAAACCCTAAACCTTAAAACCCTCAACCTTAACCCCTAAACCGAGTTGGTGCCATCCAGGTCGAGAGTTGAATGGCACTGCCGGTCCCACTTCCGAAGCCTAAACCCCCTAAACCTTAAAGCCCCAAACCCGAAACTGAAAAATCCTGATCTCGAAGCTTCAAGCTTCAACCAAAACCCGAAACTACGGTTGATGATATAAATCCTGCATTACCTTAAGGACCCTAAACTATGGGAATTATGGCATATTCCTTATTATGGGTCATGCAGGATTTATATCATCAACCGTAAGTCAACCCTAAACCCGAAACTCTAAGCTTGGATGCCTGCACCCAGAGAGCCCAATACACCTTAATCAGGGAATATAGCTTAAATCATAATAGTATGAACCCCCAATAATTTAAGGTATAATATATATATTCCTTAGTTAAGGGGTATTGGGCTCTCTGGGCACCTGCCACTGAAGGTCATGCCTGGCAGTGCGCAGCCGATGACCTTCGGCACCTCCCAGAGAAGGATGTCGGGACCTCGGCTTGTTGGGGGGTTTACTGTTCCCAGAGACTCCAAAACCCCTTATTTAAGGAATGTACCTTAAATCATAAGGGGATTCATATTATGATTTAGGCTATGTTCCTTAATTAAGGGGTATTGGGCTCTCTGGGTTTGGGTTTCTAGGTTTGAGGCATGTTTCGGGTTTACTTACAGGCTCTTAGCAACTAGGATCATAAATGAGGTAGCTTTGCTTATGCCTCCTTCTAACTCCAATCAAGGTACTTATAACCTTTCTAAGGCACATGATCCCCAAAGCAGGGTTTAGAACCCTGAAGCACAAACCCTAAACCTCAAACTTGGTGAATGTCTGATCTGCAGGTGTCTTGGACTGTAAATGTTCGAGATGTTTCCTGTGGCTTTGTAGTGCAGGCCCCGTAGGTGTGGCAGGTGACTGACTGGATCAGCGCGAACCAGAAAGACGCCCTAAACCCTAAACCCTAAACCCTAAACCCTAAACCCTTTAAACCCAAACTTAGGGTTGAGTGCATTCTGCGCTTCTTAGGGTTTAGGGTTTAGGGTTTAGGGTTTAGGGTTTAGGGTTTAGGGTTTAGGGTTTTCTGGCGATGCGAGCCCCGCAGGAGGCTAGATTTGGGAGTTTCCGGAAATTAGGGGTACCTTTGAGCGTGATCCTTACAGGGTTCCTCAAAGGGAATTTTTTGGGTTCTATAAATGGTTCAGGGTTTTGAGTTTCCGAAAATTCGGGGTACCCTATTTTGGGGTGCTTATAAGAAGGATCCTACTATTCAGGGTACTTTTTTAGGCTCCCCCATTTTCGGAAATTCCCATTTTGGTCCCTACAACACCTTACGGGGACCCTCAAAAGGAAAACCTTAGATCGCTTGAAGGAACCCGTAAAGGAAGCCCGATAGATCAGGGCCTATTTGGAGGATCATGGGACTTAGTAAGACTTAGTAAGTAAGGTTATAAGTACCCTAATTGGACTTATAAGTGTAGTTACGTTATTTATAACCCTAGTTACTAAGTCCCATGATCCTCCAAGTACCTAACCCCCTAAACCCTCTCTCCGCGCTCATTTGTTCGCAAACTTCGAGGCCCGAGCTGACGCTGAAGGGCTTCCTGCGGCCCGGTGCTTTCGACGCCACGGCCTCAGACCCGGTTTAGGGTTTCGGGTTTAGGGGCACCCGATACCCATAGCAATTACGGAAGATCTTAGGGTTTTATGATGGTTCAGGGTGATTGAGGATGCTTTCCAATAGGAGAGTGAATGCGCTCCGTAAGACCCCAGAGAGCCCAGTACCCATTAATTAACGAATATACCTCAAATTATAAGGGGGTTCATATTATGATTTAAGCTTTATTCCCTAATTAAGGGGTATTGGGCTCTCTGGGTTAGGGATTGGGGTTTAGGGGCCCTGAGCCTAAACCGTAAGACATCGCATTCGTCAGCATCTCAGGGGTTACAGTATAACTATGATAGTAGGATCCTTATTATAAGGACCCCCAAATAAGGTGCCCCACATCAGAATTCCCTAAACCCAAAACCCTATAGATCCCTGTAAGGATCCCTTTAAAGGAACCCTAGGTATATTCCTTCATTAAGGGCTCTTAGGGGCTCTTTGGGTTCGTCATCTCTAAACCCTAAACCCAAAACCGTATCATAAGGGCCCTAAGGGATCCCTTGAAAGGGCTCCCTTTAAAGGGCTCCCTTTAAAGGGATCCCTTAGCATCTCAGGACGAGATGCCGCAGACGAAGAAAGACGCCGACTCCGTGCAGAAAATGCTGGAGCGGCTACAGGCCGGGACCAAATTCATAGGAGGCCAAAAGGGGTTTTGACCTATGGGGGTTTAGTGGGGATTAGGGTTCCCAAAATAGGGTTCATTTTAAAGAACCCCTACCCAAGAATCTTAAACTCCCCTTTTGGCTTCCCATCAGAAATGTGCGAATGTCTCCGGTCAGCCGAGGCTGAGGCCGTGGCTTTCTGGTTTCATTCCTTGTGACTGCTCAGGGCAACGTCAGCGAGACCAAGCAGTCAGTGCAGCTGCAGGCCGGATCCCTACTTGGAGGGTCGGGGGACTTAGTAACTGGTTATTGTAGGGGCTTATAAGTACCATAACCCCAATTAGGGTCCCTTTTAGGGTACTTATAAGTCTACTTACTACCTACTTACTAAGTCCCCCGACCCTCCAAGTAGAATAGGTCCCTGAAGGTCCTTATACGTACCCAGAGAACCCAATACCCCTTAACTAAGGAATATACCTTAAATTATAGAGGCCTCAATACTATGATTTAAGGTATGTTCCTTAATTAAGGGGTATTGGGATCTCTGGGTAGTCCCTGCAGCTCTTTCTCTAAGAACCAGGGAGACACTGTTGTGCCCGAATGAAAGGCCTTTTTCCACTTGCGTCGCGGAAGGGGCCGGCGTGGGGTCAGTATTGTATATCTCACATATGTACATATCACATCATGCATATGTATATATATATATATAGTACATATAGTTAACGTGCCGCCGACGGTTGCAGGCGCAGATGCCGCGCTCCGGTGGACCGCCGAAGGCAGGGAAGACGAGCGTCTGATGTGCACCCTGAGCAGGGCAACGAGCTCCCAGAGCCTCCAAAAATTGCTGAATATATTTTAAACAATATTTGGGATCCCTAATATGATTTACGGTATTTTCCTTATACATTCCTTTAAAGATTTGTTTAAGGAACCCTTAAAAGGTATATGTTCCTTACGGAGTCTCTGGGAAGTCAGCGCCCCCGCGCCTGTGCAGGCTGTGTTCCCCGGAGCAGGGCCCGAGGCAGGTGACTGCCTCTTGCAAAGCCCCTACTTGGAGGATCATGGGACTTAGGGTTCCTTAAAGGGTTCCTCAAGGGGCTCCTTTTAAAGGCTTCTATAGGGGATCTAGGGATTTAGGGTTTGGGGTCTACTTGGAGGATCATGGGACTTAGTAACTAGGTTTATAAACAAGGTAACTATACTTATACCTTACTTGCTAAGTCCCATGAACCGGCCCCTCAGCCAGAATGGCATTCCAATTAACCGGACGGGCAGGAGGAAAAGAGGGTTCAAAAAAGAACCTAAACCGACTTTGCTTGAGCCCGGTCTTTATTGAAGCCGTTTTCAGACAATAATCATGACGATAGTAGGAAGGATAATACCAGTAGCAACACTCAAAGTCCAGCAATGACCGGAAGAAGTTTTTCGTGTTCATATCAAAGTCCGCAGGTTGGAGGAGATGACATGGCCTATGGGGGTTTAGTAGGGATTAGGGTTCCTATAATAGGGTTCATATTAAGGAATCCCTACCCCAAGAATCTTAACCCCCCCGTTTGGCCTCCCATCAGCAGGTTGGAGGAGATGACATGAGGACCCAAGCAGACTTTCAGTTCGAGGCGGGCATCGGGATGCCTGGGCTCCTGGCGACGGTGGAACCCTACTTGGAGGATCATGGGACTTAGTAACTAGGGTTATAATTAGGGTAACTATACTTATAACTCCAATTAGGTTACTTAAAACCTTACTTACTAAGTCCTATGATCCTCCAAGTAGTAAGTAACCCTGAAAGGAAGCCCATTCTACGTATCAAGGTAACTTATACCCGCGTAGTGCTGCTACTCGTTTGCCGAAGCTCGCAGATTCGAGCCGATCTCCGCGGTGCGCAGATTCGAGCATGTCGGGGTGCAGGGTTTAGGGTTTAGCGTTTAGGACCCGGCTGTCCATACACCTGGTCGTTTCAGATGTCGCTTCCTTCCCAGACCAGAGCGCAAGGAAACTTGCAGTTCATGAGAGTCATACTTGGAGGGGCAGCAGACTTAGTAAGTAGGTTATAAGTAGGGTTATAATTCGGGTAACTCTATTTAGGGTACTTATAACTCTACGTATAACCTACTTACTAAGTCCCCTGCCCTTCCAAGTACCCCACCATAAACAGCTATACACGCCCATGTGGGTCCCAATGCCTTCACAATTTATGTAGAAGCCCATATTGAATAATCGACCACGCAGCAATGCGCACTGCGTCATGTTCAACACGTCCCAACTGATGCAGTCCACCTACCCTTTGCCGTGTCATTGCTTGATGATTCACCTAACCATTGATATTGGAGGAGCTAAGGAGCCAGGGATGAGCATAATCCTTATTAAACAAGGAGCTAAAGAGCCAAGGAAACCCCAAAACCACTGTGATTCACAACAATGGAAAGCTGCACAACTGAGGGAACCCAGAGTCATTTATTGCAGACGGTAGCCTGTAAAGATCCAGCCGCTAGCCCCAAGCCTCTAAGCTTCTGTCACTTACCCTAAACCCCTAAACCCCTGAAGTCCTAACCTCCAACCCCTAAACTCTAACCCCTAAAATCCTAAAGCCCTAGAGTCCCTAAACCCCTAAACCCTCAACCCCTAAACCCCTAAACCCCTAAACCCCTCCTCTGCCAGGCGCTCCTGTCCAGGGCGCAAGCGGCCGGCAGTCCGGAGGCGTTGGACCAAGTGGCCCGGGAGGTGCTCATCAGGCCGGCCAGGGTTTAGGGTTTAGGGTTTAGGGTTTAGGGTTTAGGGTTTAAGGGTTTAAGGGTTTAAGGGTTTAGGGTTTAGGGTTTAGGCCGCGCCAAAAGGAGGAAGTTAGGGTTTAGGGGCCTAGGGGGCTAGGGGTTTAGGGATTTGGGTACAGGGTTCAGACCAAAATCATACTGCAGCTATGAACATACCCTAATAATACGTAGAAATACTATACTAGTGCTGTGATGATACGATAAGGAGGGGATCATGGAAGCAAGTGTAGCAGGAAAGCAGTGAAGCTCCGTTTGTGCCGCAAAACCCTTAGCTTTACAGTATGGCACGCCCTAAACCCCCTAAGCCCCAAAGACCCAAACCCGAAACCCTAAACCCTAAATTGTGCTCGCACCTGGAAGGTTTCCATCTTTCACGGCCCAACAATGCACGGACCTGTGTCAGAAGATGGACACGGCTCCAGCGCCGCTGGCCAAGCTTCGGGTCAGTGTAATTCCACTATCGTATCATCAAAGACTTTCAGACCAGCTTTAGGAATATGGTGTTGCAGTGCTATTGCATCATTATGAGAGTTTTATCCTGGAGTTACTGTAGATGAGTATGGTATGTTGTAGGATTGTTGTGTCGTATTCTGATTTCAGTAGTCATGGTCTGATTTCCCGCATCATTTCCGCTAGTAGTGATGAGGTTTCATGAAAGTCTGCATGACTAGAAGATAGAAGAGTTTTGTGTATGAGAAATATACTTAGCCGTAGTATTCCTTCGGGTTCCCGATTATGATGTTGGCGTGATGGACACCAAAACCCATTCCAATTGTTAAGATGGGTCGTTTTGGGCGTCTCCGCTTTGTACCGTTAGATGTTCCTAACCCAAACCCCAAACACACGAAAACCCTGAGCGTCATCATCTTAATCCCTGCAGCCCCAAGCAAGCCGAGGCGCAGGGACCCTAAACCCCAATCCCTAACCCAGAGACTCCAATACCCCTTAGTTAAGGAATATGGCCTTCCTCATAATGTTCATCCCCTTATTATTTAAGGTATATTCCTTAATTATTTAAGGTCTATTCCTTACTTAAGGAATATACCTTAAATAATAAGGGGATTCCCCGTATTACTTAAGGTATATTCCTTAATTAAGGGGTATTGGGCTCTCTGGGAAACCCTGATCATTGTCATCCCTATAGTCCAAAGCCGAGGCTCAAATCTTAAACAAAATAAACCTCTTTGAAACCTACGGAGACTCCCTTCTGAAGCCACAAGCCAGGCCTGAACCGTAATTCTAAAGCCCAAAGCCTTAAATCCTAATCCCAAAACTCAAAACCCTAAACCTTCAACCCGAATCATCCTAAGCAACCCAACGCCCCAATAGGCGAAGCAACTCTGCAAGCAATTCTCCTTCCTAACCCTTCGAAAAGCCGAGGCTCCGGGATCACCAGGGTGGCGACTTTTTGGCAGAACTCTGCCGCTTGCTCGGGTCGCGGCTGCGCGAGCTGACGAGCATGCAGGCGGGAGAAGGTTTTCATGTTTTCAGGGTGGTGTCATCATGCTGCTATGGTGTATGTTGGTCGTATGGCCTCATTATAGTTAGCATGGTATTTTGGCTTATGCGAGTCTTATAGTCTCACTATAGCATTTTGTGTGTGTGTGTGTGTGTGTGGGTTTTTGCTGTCATTGTTGTAATTATTGTCTTTGTGGCGTTCTGGTCGAGTTTCTGCTGCCGACGCATTGAACTCCATCATGCTTTTGGCTGGAACTGAGAATGAGTTGCGGCCAGTTCACCACGGCCTGCAGCACAGTCGCTGCGTGGTTTGCTTCTCAGATCTTCTCGGTTGTCCCTGCCTGCCTGCAGATGTCAATCCCAAGAGGTCGAAGCCCTAAACCGCCACAACCCTAAACCCTAAGCAAAAGGCCCTAAGCCCCAAAGTGTCGTACTCAGGTCGGCGGACCCCAAGAGAAGACGCGCACCCCTCTTCGCCCAGCTGTCAAAGGCATTCTCGCAGTGATGGCATGGGGGCTTTAAGGCGGACGTTTTAGAGAGGCTTATGGTCATAGTAGTATAGTAATGTTGGCAATCAGAGCATAATTCCAAAAGGCTCAGACCTAGCTGTAGCCTTCCATGTTCAGGAGCTTACAGGACAAGATTGAGTGCCAATGCGGAAGTCTTTCTTGTATGTTGCTGCACAGAAGGTCTTTTTCACAGCGGCGGCCAACGAGATGTCTTCGCGTCTCATGACGTTTGCGTCACGCCCTAAGATAAGAACCAGCGAAGAAACCCTATTGGCATTATCAGTACGTATCATTGTCAGCACCATGATATTATTAGCATTTTACAGTAGTACAGGTGCTACCATTGCTGCTATGGTTATTACTAATATTATAGTACTATGATTACGATAACTACTATCGCTATTGCCCTTCATTACTGTTATCGTGACTATCGTGATTATCGTGATTAGTGTGATTACTCTGCCGATGTTCATCATCATCATTGCCATTTCAGTAGTGGTACCATCTTTGTCATTCAAGCCCCAAACCCGAGATCCTCTCAGCCTACCGAGGCCACATGAGCTCAACAGCTGCCTTGCAGCTTTCGTGCGGCTCCGACTCTCTTGGAGGGAGCGATGTCCAGTGAAGTCCGGCAGTCTGGTTCGTTTCAGATGTCATGATAAGAACAACGACACAGATAACCAGAATCATCAAACCAACAAAATAATAACAACAATCATAACCATAATAGTAATAGTAGTAACAAGTAATAGCCATAATACGGATACTAATAGGGTTTCTTGAGATCCACCGCCACACTGTGCAACTTGTCGAGTCTTGAGATATGCCTGCCTTCCCTCAGCATCGGCTAATCTCGCATGGCAGGTCAGTAGGCTTCTCGGAGCACAAATTCTTTGCGTCAGTCGGTCTCGGCCTAAGCGAAGTTCCGCAGTTCGAACGCCTCTGCTTCCGTGGCATCGTGCGCTTGTTAGTGTTACTATTGTTAGGAAGTATTGTTATGATTGTGATAATTCTTACCATTATTCTTCTTACTATTTCTAGTATTAGTATACTCTTCATATTATTATTACGATTATTGCTACCATTAGTCTTCGCACTATTACTAGTAGTTAGTTTTCAAGCAGAGCCGGACAAGAGAGAGGACATCCTGGGTCGACTGCATGCTGAGAGTGAGTCCCATTCAGATTCTCAAAATCCCTTTAAAGGGTCCTTAAAAGGGATCTATTAGGGTTCTATAAGGGAATTAAGGAATATACCCTAAATTATAACAGGATCCCTTATATGATTTAAGGTATATTCCTTAATTAAGGGGTTTTGGAGGCTCTGGGTTCGGGCTGAGCTGTACCCAGAAGCTGGTTACACAGGTTTCCTTGGGGTGGGTCTCAATAACAAATCGAGTCGAGCTACTTTGCCCCGTCTTTGAGACCCCTAAACCTTAAACCCCTAAACCCAAAACCCTAAATCCTAACATCCTGAACCTGAAAACCCTTCTTCGACACACCACTACACCCTAGACCCTAAGATCCTAAACCTGAAAGCCCCTTCTTCGACACATAGGCCGAGCTGCCCTGGCCCGGCACACCAGCTTCGCACCAGCGGAGACCTCAGCTTTGCTCAGATCCGTCTGATAGGGTTCGGGGTTTAGGGTTTTGGGGTTTGGGTTCACAGGGACCCCCAAAAGCACATAAGCATAAGCATTTTGTAAGGATATCCCTACCTTGTTGGGCTTCACTATAAGAGGGTTTATATGGGGTCTATCCCTATCCTAATTTTTGCTTATGTGCTTTTTTCGGCCCTAGTTCAGGGCTTCGGCCTCGGGCTTTCGGGTTTGGGGTCTATTTGGGGCTCTTCCGTTCTCACTGAGGAGTCAAAAAGCACAGGAAACGCTGTGAAACGGGGTTTGGGGTCTAGGGTCTTGGGTTTAGGGTTCAGGGTTCGAGGTACATGGTTTGTAGAAGCCCATTACAGGTGGGTAGTTCCTCTTCCATAGTACTCCCATAAGACCCCTTTACCTTATAGGAGTGGTATGGAAGGCTTATGGGAGACTACCCACCTTAAAACTACCCACCTGTAAACGGCTTATAGTTTGGGGTTTAGGGTTTACTCCCAGGTTCAACTGACAGCCCTGCTGGCGATCCTGTCGGAGATGCGACTGGCCGGGGCCTTCGAGACGAGCGCGTCTGTTTCTTTTGCCACCGAAAGCCTTAAAAGGGATCTATTGTAGGGTTCCCTTTAAAGGGGTCTATAAGAGTTACTGTAAAGGGAACTCCAGAAAGTTGGAATATGGTTTCGGGGTAGGATACCTTGTATTTTACCATAAAGGGTTTAGGATAATCATATTCCAACTTTCTGGCTTTTACCTTAAGGGATCTATAAGCCTGTTTCTTTTGCCACCTTCCTTGGCCGGGAGCTGCGTCTCGGCTCCCATCCCAAGCGAAGCGTGTCGCACCGGATCGCTTGGTGCTAGGAGGTTGATGATATGAATCCTGCATGACCCATAATAAGGAATATACCATAATTCCCATAGTTTAGGGTCCTTAAGGTAATGCAGGATTTTATCATCAACAGTAGGAGGTTGGGATGCTTTGATCGGGTTTATGGTGGCTCAAACAGTCGCACAGACATTGACGCTCCGGTTTTGTGTTTCAGGTGCACACGGATCTTTTCAACGCGGCCGCAACTTTCCTATCTTCGCGGACGAAGGCTTTCATACATTGCAGTGTTCATTTCCTTAAGTTTTAGTTTTTCCTGATATGGCGGTTGTCACCCTAAGCCTTAAACCCTAAACTCTAAACCCCTAAACCCTAAACCCTTTGCCGGAGCTTTGCAAAAGAGCTACTTGGTGCAGGAGTTGCGGCCGGTGGACATCATTCGGGTGCTTCGGTCGTTTGCCAAATGCAACGCCCGTGGCTGAGAGAGCATGCTTGGAGGTTCATGGGACTGAGTACAGTTGCAAGTTGCAAGTACATAGACTGGGGTTATAACTAGTTGTAAGTATAGTTACTGTGTTTGTAACCCTAGTTGCTAAGTCCCATGAACCTTTAAGTGGGCAGTTGTATTCCATTGCCATTCACTTTGAAATCGATGTTTGCATCAGGGAATGCCGAAGTGCTCCTGAAAGGTGTGCAAAACTCTAAACTTCCGTGGACCCTTAAGCTTTTAAACCCTAAGTTGTCAGAATCTGAGGTCCAGCACCAGGGTCTTTGCAGAGCTGTTGGAGACGAGGCCTGACGCACTCAGGCTTCAGGGCTTAGGATTTATGGTTCAAGGGCTTACAGGGTGAATCCCTGCTGCTGATGCTGTTCGTGGCAGAAGCAGGCCAAAGAATAGGAGGCTCTTCCATTGCTGCTGATCTGGAAGTCAGCATCCCCTCTGCTCGGTTTGTGTCATCTTCTATGCATCTCCAACCTACCTGAGCCATAAACCCTCGACCATGAACCCTAAACCGTAAACCTTGTGCAAGGTCATCAGCCGGGTGAAAGGAGGCGTCAACTTCCGAGCTGAGGCCGTGCCCCGCAAGACGTGCGAGAGAGTTCGGCGTTTTTCTGGGTTCGTGCTGAGGAACTTGATTGACTTACCAAAACCATGTTATGCATTGTAGATCCCTCTTATGGTACCTTAAATCAAGTTCGTGGACAAGAGCCCAAATTTTCGCCATGCGTGTTGGTCTCAGTTTTCTGTGTGCAGAGCAATCTTTGTGAAAACCGTAGACCCCAGACCCTAAACTCTAAGCCCTAGGCCCTAAACCCTAAGCCCTAGGCCCTAAACCTAAACTTAAACAACCCTAAACCTAAACCCTAAACCTAAACCCCAACCCCAAAACCCTACACTTTAACCCTAATCCCCAAACCCGAAACCCTAAACCCAACCAGAGGAAGTTTGTCAGAGCTCCTTGCTCGTCGGAGGACCTCTGCGAGATCACCTGGGCATTGTGCGTGTTGGAGCATTTCAATCCAGCCACCCTGCGGCAAGATTCTGAAGGGGACAAGGGCTGTTTGGTTGGATGTCAGAGCTGTTTATTCTTACAGCGACGAATATTGTTATCATGATTATTACCGTCGTTTCAATTAAGTACGAATATATAATTATCACGTTTGTTACTGCTATCATCGTGATTTAGACTTTTGTTATCATGATGTGAGCAATTTCGGAGCCTGGTGCATGAGAGGGCTGCCTGGAGGGTGCGACTCTGCCCTTGATCTGCCAGGATATCTTCGAGATTTTGCTGAAGGCACAGGGGCACTTAATGGATTTCTTCCATAATGTAGGGATGCGGGACTTCATGGTGCTATTATTGCTGGAGGGAGCATCACTGCAGGCTGCACCAGCGAACGTGATCCCTAAATCATCATAACGACAAAACCCAAACCCCAGACACGCAAAGCCCTACACTGCTGTCCTTTCGGCAGGCGCTGAGAAAGGTGCCCGTGGTCCCTTCAGATGCGCTCACTCAGGTCACGTGCGTTGCCGTTTGAGTTGCTCGGTTAGTCACATGGCTAGCTACACGAGAATAAAGGTAATTTAAGTGGTAATTGTGGTAAGTATAGTCATTGTAGCCGTAGTAGATGTAGATGTATATGTATATGCATATGTATATGACTATATATGTATACGTAAAAGTACGTATATGTATTCATGTATGTCTATGTATACGTATGTGTATAAGTATGTGTATATGTACATGTATGTGTAGATGTATATGCATATGTACATTTAGTGGTGGTAGTACTTGCAAAATGGCAAAATATTACCATGCCCAGTGAAGTTTCCGCCCGCGACGCTTCCACTAAACCCTAAACCCTAAACCCTAAACCCTAAACCCAAAACCCTAAACCCTAAACCCTAAACCCTAAACCCAAAAACCTAAAACGCTTCCTGTGCCGCCAGCTCTTCGAGTGTCATTTGGCCCTCGAGACCGAGCAGAAGAGCCAGTATCGCAGGCCGGCTGCCATAGGAGGCCTAAAGTTAGGGACCCCAAAAGCACATAAGCATAAGCATTTTATGGGGATATCCCTACCTTGTTGGGCTTCATTATAAGGGGGTTTATATGGGATATCCCTATCCTAATTTTTGCTTATGTGCTTTTTTGGGGCCCTATAAAGGGGTTTTAGCCGATGGGGGTTAGGGATCCCTAGGGTTCCTTTAAAGGGATCTATAGAGGTTCCTCTAAAGGGATCTATAAGGGTATCATAGGAGGCCTAAAGGGGTTTTAGCCTATGGTAGGGTTCCCATAATAGGGTTCATATTAAGGAATCCCTACTCCAAGAATCTTAATATCGCAGGCCGGCTGCGGCTGCTTGCAGCTTCCAAGGGTAAAAGGAGGGACCCTTAATAAGGACCCCTAGGTATATACCCTTAATATAGCTATTATGTGCCCATTATATAGCCCATTATAAGAGGCCTACAGGGGTTTTTGCCTATGGGGGTTTAGTAGGGTTCCCATAATAGGGTTCATATTAAGGAATCCCTACTCCAAGAATCTTAAACCCCCCTTTTGGCCTCCCATTAGGCTGCGGCTGCTTGCAGCTTTTCCTGGGTTTGGAGTACCATGCTTGACTACTTTTTTTTGGTAACTGTTGCTTAAAGGAACCATTATGAAATAGAAGTCTATACTTTCTTCTCCCTAGGTACTTAAAAGTCCAGTTTTGTTTTCTCTGTGGAAACCCTGAGAGCCCAATACCCTGAACCCCCTGAACCCCCTGAACCCCATACCCTAAACCCCTAAACCCTAAACCCCTAAACCCTAAGCGCTAGACCCTGAACCCCATATCCCTATACCCGAGACCCTAAACCCTAAACCCCTAAACCCTAAACCCCTAAGCCCTAAGCCCTAAGCCCGAAGCCCTAAGCCCTAAACCCAAAACCCAAAACCCAAAACCCTAAACCCTAAACCCTAAGCCCTAAACCCTAAACCCAAAACCCAAAACCCAAAACCCTCGCCCTGAACCTGCTTGCAGCTTTTTCCTCTTCTTTGCGGCCAGGTAGATCGGTACTTGGAGGTTCATGGGACTTCGGGTTCTTAAAGGGTTCCTTAAAAAGCCCCTTTCGGGATCTATAGGGGTTTAGGGTTTAGGGTCTACTTGGAGGATCATGGGACTTAGTAACTAGGGTTATAAATAACGTAACTATACTTATAACTCCAATTAGGGTACTTATAACCTTACTTACTAAGTCCCATGATCCTCCAAGTAGACCCCTCCATACTTCAAAGCTGACTTTGGAAGTTTCAGCCCTAAACCCTAAACCGGGCAGAAGGAAAAAGGCGTTCCTAAAAAACCAAAACCCAAAACCTTAAATCCTGACCCAAAACCCAAACCCTAAACCCGGTGGATCACTTGATCCTTTTATAACTCACAGTTGACTTTGTCATGATTGGGTAACATTTTACATTTTTATGGGTACTTATACCCAAAAAGGAATACAAATTCAATTTTTAAATCCTATCCCAACCATGAACTTGTTGACCTTGGAAGGTTCAGAGACAGAATGGATCAGGAAACAGTGGAAGCACTGCAGGCCGGCGCTTCAGTCTCGCAGTCTTAGTACTATGAATACTATTAATCATTATTATTATTATTAGTATTGTTATTAGTACAATTAGTAGTATTACTATCAGCATTATTACTATGATGATGAAGGATCTATAAAGGTTCTATAAAGGGTTTAGGGCTTAGAGTTTCCGAAAATTAGGGGTACCTTATTTGGGGGTCCTTATAATAAGGATCCTACTATTTAGGGTACTATATTGGGTCCCCTATTTTCGGAAACTCCCATGTCATTATGATGATGATGCTCATTATTATTAGTAGCATGATTATTAGTAGAGTTTATTATTAATATTTGTATTACTATTCGTATTCTTGAACCAAAGCTTGGCCTCCGAGGATCACTACAGGGAAGCCCGAAAAGACGAGAGGCTGGCTTTCGAGGAGCTTGAGTGCAACCCGCTTCAAAGAGACAAGATCCCTAAACCCTAAACCCTAAATATCAGACGTGGGGCTAAGGGGTTACTTGGAGGATCATGGGACTTAGTACTTGGGATTATAGATAAGGTAACTATACTGAGAAGTACTTGTAACCCCAGTTTGGCTACTTACTAAGTCCCATGATCCTCCAAGTAGGGTTAAGGGTTTAGGGTTTAGAGACGACGCTTCTGCTTCTTTCACAGGCGGTGTTCGGACAAGCACCGTAGCGATGTGGCTTCCGTGCTGAAATCCTTGGCAGCGCGCTCAGACCGAGCGCTGCACCGCCTCGTGCACTGCCCTGAACCCTGAAGGCCCCCCAGGCCCTACCCCCAGAGCCTCCAAAACACCTTAATTAAGGAATATACCCTAAATTATAACAGGATCCCTTATATGATTTAAGGGTATATTCCTTAATTAAGCGGTTTTGGAGTCTCTGGGTTCAGAAGCTACCTTGGCAAGCTTGCAAGGTCGAGGGTTCCGTGCACGTGAACCACCGGACAAGCTGTGGCTTGGCAAGAGTTCGCCTGGGCATGCGCGAGGTGATCTTGTGTGAGGACTTTGCGGGCGGAGGGGGTGGTTTGCTACACCCCCGCGACCCTAAACCCTAAGCTCATAAATCCCACCCCCTGACCCCTGAACCCTTAACCCCTAGTTAAACCTTATAGCAGCATCTGAAGAAATACGATTCCCTACCCCCTGAAACCTTGAACCCTAAAGGAAGCGCAGACCCTAAACCCTATCCCCTAAAACCCTGAATTCACAAAGGAAAACCAAGAAAGACTCTCAAAATCTGAAGTGTGCGAGTCCCCGATACCTCGGCTCTCAAGGTGGTGGTTGTCAGAATATGGTCCCTTTTTGGGTCCTCGCTATGATACGGCATCTTATATATAGAGTACTTGGAGGGTCGGGGACTTAGTAACTGGTTATTTTAGGGACTTATAGGTACCATAACCCCTATTAGGGTCCCTTTTAGGGTACTTATAAGGCTGCTTACTATTACTAAGTCCCCCGACCCTCCAAGTACCCAAAACGGGACCATAAATTTTGACAACCGCCCAGGTGGGCTTCTAGTCGACGTGGCAGCGCTGCGGAAGCCTCCACCTTGGGCGATTTGGGTTCGCTTCGCTTGCAAAGGATTCCACACTTGGAGGGTCATGGTGACTTTGGTAAGTGTTTAAGGTAACTTGAAGGGATCCTTAAGGAGTTGCTAAAAGGGATCTACAGGGTTATAGATGTGGTAGCCATACTTATAGCTAGTTATCATCCGAGTTGAGGTATTTATAACTGTACTTACAAGTCCAATGATCCTCCAAGCGTTGATCAGGAGCCCCATCCCTTTTGAACACAGGCGCAGTTCAACGGACGGCTTTGTCCACGTTGATTTAGACTCCAACGTGACCTTCGTACGGTCTCTGGACCATGCCGGCGGCCAAGGGGCGAACAGCGAAACGTCAGGGCTCATTTCGCGGCATTCTGCAGATGAAGCCTCCTAAACCCTACTTGGGGGGTCGGGGGACTTAGTAACTGGTTATTTTAGGGACTTATAAGTACCGTAACCCCAATTAGGGTCCCTTTAGGATACTTATAAGTCTACTTACTACCTACTTACTAAGTCCCCCGACCCTCCAAGTAAACCCCAAACCCGAAACGCTGCCAAGGATGACCCAGCTACTGCTGGAATCGTCATCGAGGGTGCTGTCGCACTTAGGCTCGGCTCTCAACCCTCCCCCCCCGCACATCAACCCCACATCTCTCCAGCTCATCTGCTTTGCAGCTTTGCGCAGGCGGCGCATTCTTCAAAAGCAAGGTCTTAGGCTCGTCCGGATCCGAGCGCATCCGAGCTTGATGTTTATTGGCAGTCCCGGACACGGGACTAAGATTACTGATCGTTCAGGGTTCCTTTTTGTGGGTTTCATTGGGAGTGACCGCCAGGGGCGCGCAAGGCCAGCACGGTGGTGACAAAGCCCGCGACAGTTCGACTAAAAGCGAGTTCTTTCGGTTTAGAGCTTTGGGGTTTAGGGCCGTGGAATGGGATTCATTCCGAGTTTCAATACTTTGGTGTTGTCCAGCTTAACGAATCACTCTCCCCTGCAGTCCCGTGTGCGAAGTTGGTGACAGAAAGTATGCTCCTGCCACAGTCCTGCGCTCGTTTGCCCTGAAATCGGTCGAAGTCGGAACGTCCCTGCCGGCCACTAACTATTGCATGGTGGGGATTTCAATTTCAACTATTGTAGGTATATACTCTTGTTTATTGATCCATATATTCCCTTTACTATAATGATCCAAAAAACTTTGCTATGCGAGGTGCATTCGCGCGAATTATTCGACTTGGCGCTCCCTCTTGGACCGTTAAGTGATTCACTCACTCAACATCCCCATCCCTTAGAAGCTGCCCCCACCCTGTAATAGTGACTATAAGGATTATATTAGGGCCCTATTATTTATTATACCACTATTACAGGGTGGGGGCAGTTTCTAACCCATCCCCATCCCCATCCCTCTTCGTCGCCCTCTGCCTTTCCCTCTCCCTCTCTCACTCTGCTGCGCACCCAGGTCACAGTTCGTGAAAGCGAATGGCGAGACCTCGATGAGAGCAAGGACAGCGAGGGTACGGTTTACGGTTTAGGCACCACTCTTGACGAATTATTTCAGTGCAGCAGGGATGCTGGAGGGATCACGTTTCGGTCAGGGCGAGTTGACGAATGGTGCTTGGTCTTCATCATCTTAAAACCTAAACCCTAAACCCCTAACCTTAAGCTCTAAGCCCTAAACCCCTATACCCCTCCGTTTTAATCCATTCGGGTGCAAGCGACAGGAGAAGCGTCGACACCTGCGAAATCTCCTTTCCGCGCTGGGTGACGTTTTGGAGCTGGAGCCTTGGACAACTCCCCAGCTTCATGAAGCCCGGGGCCCTCCCCCCCCTAAGGGTTCCTTAAAAAGCTCCTTTTGAAGGGTTCTATAAGGGATCTATAGGGGTTTAGGGTTTAGGGTCTACTTGGAGGATCATGGGACTTAGTAACTAGGGTTATAAGAAAGGCAACTATACTTATAACTCCAATTAGGGTACTTATAACCTTACTTTCTACGTCCCATGATCCTCCAAGTGGGGTTTTTGGGTTTGGGGTTGAGACCTGGCAGTGGAAGGCCATTGAGCTTGTATCAGGCAATGCAGGACTTCAGCATGAATCATTGAGAGACCCGCTCGGCGTCAGAAACGAGAGCTGGCTGTGCAAGCTGCAGGTGAAGCTGGTTGTGAGCGCTGGCAGCGATTTGCTTCTCAGCTTTCTGTAGCTGCATGGCATAGCATCTCGAAACACTTGCCAGCCGCAACTTTCTCTCGTCGACTTGCCTAGATGCGGATGTCTTTATCTCAAGAATGCCTTCCCCGAAGCGATTTCTAGGGAACTCTGTCGAGTGCGCTGGGAGTGGGGATCTGGTGAGCCACGGACGTTGAGGATACGTTGTCATATCATATCATATCATATCACATCATATGATATCACATCATATTTTATCTTCTACCGTTTTCGGTATATGACATGACAGCACACTGTATCAAAGCATATTATGCTATACTATATGGCACTAATCCTTCCACCAAACTGGCAGGCTCCACAGATCCCGACGACTAGTAGCCTTTGCTTTGTGTTCAGACGTTGCTTGTGACCGGTGATGGGGAGGTGCATCAAAAAGTGCTGGGATGGCGTGCTAGCCAGTTTGATGCGCCCTGATATCGCATCAGTCTGCTGGAATTGGTTTCGGGCTCAGAGTTTCGGATTATTCACTCTACTTCTGCTAGAGAGCCGCTGGGCTGCGCATTGGAAATTGAAGGTGGTGCCAGCTGTATCTCTGTGACAGTCTGCCGTTTCTGAAGCTGTGGGAGTGATCAAGAGAGGGCTACACGGAGAGAGGATGACGACTGCAGTGACATAAAAGGAGGTCCCAGACAAGAATCTTGTAGTACTTCGGTTGATGATATAAATCCTGCACTACCTTAAGGACCCTAAACTACGGGAATTATGGTATATTCCTTATTATGGGTAATGCCGGATTTATATCATCAACCGTTCCACGTCCATGCATAACGACGCAGGTTGAGTTTCATTGTATGATATCCGACTCTATCATATTGTATTATTACTTATCATATTTCATCGTTACGCTACATTAGGCTATGTTACATTCTACTCCTATTGTTCTATAAAAAGAACACTACTAATGTATACATATATATATATATATATATGTACATAAAATAATAAGAAGAAGAATAATGATAGTAATAATAATAACAATAATAACAATATCACATTACCATCCCCTTCGGGTAATCGGCATCGGCCCCTTGCTGGAAGGCAGAAAGCTGGAAGGATTCGGAAAGACTCTTCAGGGCCGAGGTTTTTTCCTACAAGGGCCTTTTTGTTTAAAGGAGTCCACGGTCACAAGGGTTCGATCGGGTTTAGAGTTTTTGTGTGCTATAAGGTTCTATCAGGGTTCTGTAGGGTTTTACTGGGATTCTACGAGGCTTCTGTATGGTGCGGGGTTTAGGGTTCCCTTTAAAGGGGTCCAATAGTGACCAGTGTTTCAAGTGGCAGTTTCCGGCCAGCGATGGGGCTCTCCTTGGCTGCCTCCTTCGCAGGAGCCTCAGGTGTAGGGTTTTAGGGAGCTGGCTCTCAACCCTACACCCTAAACCCCAGGCCCTAAATATGGGCCGTGACCCTAAACCCTAAACCCTGAACCCTAAACCCTAAACCCTAAATCCTAAACCCTAAACCCTAAACCCGAAATCCTAAACCCTAAACCCTAAACCCCAAGAGGGGCCTTGCAAGGTCTTCCTGCCGCCCGACCTGAAAAACGTGGAGACCCAGAAGGCAGAAAATTTGCGCGTGCATGCAGAGGCATGGAGTTGGAGGATCATGGGACTTAGTAGGGCTCCTTAAAGGGAGCTGTAGTGTTCTTTAAAGGGATCTATAGGGTTTAGGGTTAAGGGTACTACTTAGAGGATCATGGGACTTCGTAACTAGGGTTATAAGGGTTCCTTAAAAATTTCCTTTTAAAAGGGTTCTATAAGGGATCTATAGGGGTTTAGGGTTTAGGGTTTACTTGGAGGATCATGGGACTTAGTGACTAGGGTTATAAATAGGGTAACTATACTTATAACCCCAATTAGGGTACTTATAGCCTCAGTTACTAAGTTGCATGATCCTCCAAGTGGAGCTGAAGGAGAAGGACTCATTCTTCTGGAGCTTGCGACAACCAAACACACGAGTCTGCTTTTCCTTTACGTAATCCCTTCAACGCCCGAAATGTACTCAAGTCTGCCTGCGACAGGCGTCGGACTATCTCGTTTGGGATGAGCAGCCGGCCAAATTTCCAGGGGGAGGGGTGGCCTCCTCGGCAAGAGGGCTCCGCAGGACCCATGCGATGGGGGATTTTGGGTCTCTATATTAAAGTAAAAGCCAGAAAGTTGGAATATGATTATCCTAAGCCCTTTATGGTAAATTATAGGGTATCCTACCATTATTCCATATTCCAACTTTCTGGAGTTCCCTTTACGGGTCCTTCTTGGGGTCTGTCTTATCAGGGCGCTGCACTGTTCCAAAAGGGGAGCCCGAATTTAGAGAGCTACCCAGATCCGCAATGACGGAGGTTCGAAGACCCTTCCTGTGGTTGCCGGCGCCGGATGCTTCAACACAGAGGCCCCGCCGACATGTGGAATACATGATATCTGCAGCCTGCACGTTCTCGTCTGGAGTTCTTGTATCTGGAGGTTGCATATGCCTGTACTTATGGGACTTAGTAAGTAAGGTTATAAGTACCCTAATTGGAGTTATAAGTATAGTTACCTTAGTTATAACCCTAGTTACTAAGTCCCATGATCCTCCAAGTAAGGACCTTGATCTTCTTCCACGGCAATGCGGAGGACACGATGTGAAGGGATGCGTGCAAGAGCATCAGATCGCAAGCTTCTGGCCTGCTTAGCTGCTGAGGAGCAGACGGCTCAAGAGTGTACTTTGCCCGTCCCTAGCTGCTTCCCGCGGCGCACAGCATGCTGCCCACCGCCTTTGATGTCTTGAAAATTGTGCTGGCCCTTCTGCCGGCATTCGCCGTGGGCTTGGCCGTGTTCCGGCAATCCAAGCTGGTGGCGGCCTTTGCAGCTTATATAGATCCCCAATACCCAAGCTTTAAACTTCTCTTAGGGGTACTTAGAAATAATTTTTAATTTTTGGTTATTATAATCCCTAAGAAACAGCTAAAATTATAATTTTTGCTAGGGTTCTAATTTCAGTATAGCATTCTTGGGGCTCTTGTTTGTAGTTTAGTGGGAATCGGAGAGTTTAACCTCTTATTTCTGTGGCTTATTGGGGTAGTAAGGCACAGCTCAACGACCTGCAAGAACGTGGAGAGCGACAGCAGGCGCTTGCAAAGAAAGCCATCGAAGTGGACAAAGAGTGGTTCATGATCGGTGTGACGAACATGGTTCTCAGCGCATACATCGTCGGCGCCTTTCCACCACTCTACTTCGTCTACTTCACACCCAAGGTACTGTCTCTTATCGGCCTACGCTTGGTGAAGTTTTACCGCCGGAAGCAGCATTTCCTTCTTTGGGACTTCTGCTACTGGGCTAACTTTCTCTGCATCTTCTACTGCTGGGTCATGCCCAAGTCACCGCGAGTCTTCCGTGTGGTATTCATGTGCGCCAATGGCCCCCTGGCATGGAGTGTGCTAGCCTTCAACCATGCCATGGTCTTCCACTCCTACGCGCACATGACATCGGTGGTGGTGCACGTCTCTCCCCTCCTGCTGTCCTACGGCCTTCGATGGAGTGCAGCACCCGTTTCAGAAGACTCCATCGGGTCCCACCACTTTCGAGTCTGTGAGAGCCAAGAGTCCTGCAATGATATTTCGGTCACTGAGCTGATCTGTGATTCTCTTGCTTACTTTCTTGGGCCTTTCTCCCCCTCTTTTGGTTTGTGGATCAGGTTCGCTTGAATGTGTTTTCGTGGGGATCTCGAAACATGTCTATTTTGTGCTTAGCTTGGCTTACCCTCTGAGGCCTTTCAGCTGATCTGGGAGACCTTGACTGGCTTCTACTTGTGGTGGCTGGGTGTTCCTTAGGAATTATTTCTGACTTTTCCTATACTGTCAGCCCCAGGGGCACCTTGTTCTTTTTATTGGGCGTCGAGGGGAACTTGAGCCCTAAACCCCATGTACTGCAGGCCGGTTCCCTCAACCTTGCGGTTTCGAACGCTTCGGCAGCCGGAAAAGGGCCTAGGACAAAAGCCCTACTTTTGGGGCCAACCTAATTACCTACACTTTTTTGGGGGTTCTTTATCATGATTATACTTTAATACACACCCCCAAAACCCTATTCTAATTATTAAGGCCCCTATATTAGCCCCTACTCTCACAGGTGGTTGGTTCTCTACTACGTTTGGATCTTTATCGCCCTGGGCTCTTACATCGAGAAGCACTCCTACCAGACGCTTTGGGATCGAATCTTGGTCAATAAGAAAGCATAGTAACACTTGTTCTATTGCAGCAACAACTACAACAATTCCTACTCCTACCCCGGCTCCGACTCCAACTCCGACTCCGACTTCGACTCCGACTCCGACTCCTGCTCTTTTCTCCTCCTCCTACTCCTCCTCCCACTCCCACTCCCATTCCCACTCCCATTCCCACTCCCACTCCGACTCCTACTCCTCCTCCTCCTACAACAATAACAATAATAATCTTAACAAGAGTATCAACAACAGCAATAACAGTAACACCAGTAATAACAATGATAATAAGAGTAAGAAAACATCAGTAACGGTAAAGAGTGATAGAAAGAATAAGATCAACACGGCACTAGTACTACAAGAGTAGTCACCATACCAAAACGAAGAATAAGGAGAATGATGGTAACGACAATATTATAGATAGTGACAACATCAACAATACTCACAATCATAGTAGTAGTATTGAATTTCTAACAGAATAAGAATACACATGACAACCTACAAGACAAAGATGAGAAAATAGTAGTTAACAGTAAATAGTGATACTAAAATCATAACAACGTAACGAAGGAATCTTGGTCATGAAGCCCGTCGGCCCCTTCTTGCAGAACATGCTCAAGAAGTTCCCGAAGCTTCTCGTGCAGCTCGTCTACCTCCTGATCCACCTCGCCTTCTCTGTAGCAACCATGCTTGTGGCGGTGCTGATGTGGCGCTCCCAAATCGCACACTTCACCTTCTTATCAGCCATTGTCCTCTCCACGATCAAGAACGCTGGCGACTTCTACATGGACGTCATCAGCAGCAAGTACGAAGAAGCTGCAAGCAACGCCAAGGTTCCCGTGAGCAACTAGGTAGGGCTTTGGGACATTTTATATGTTCCCTTATTGGGCTTAAGAGGATCTTATTTACTAATCTTTTTTCAAAGGCTCTAAAAGCCCCACCTAGGCAAGAAGATCCTGAGCGCCTCAGGGGCTCTTGCCGACGTCATGCTGGGAAAGTGAGTGCCGAAGTTTCAGACAACCCAAGGGGTGCCTTCGAATTAGAAGGGATCCCCTTTTCTGAACCTCCCGTGTCACTTGCAGCCTTGCCGCATCGTTTACTTTCACCCTGCGAAAAAGGTCCAGTTCAGGATCAGTCTGAGGAGCGGACGCAGAAAGCCCCTTCCTCCCTAGACCCTATAAGCTCTCAGCCCTTAAGCGAGACCATGAACCCTAAACCCTAGACCCTAAACCTTCAACCCTAAACCCGAAACCCTAAAACCCTAAAGCCCTAAACCACTTCCTCCATCTCAAAAGCCGGCAGGATCTGCTCCTCATCGAGCCGGACTTGGTCCAAATGGCCAAGGGCCTCAAGGCGCCGATCCCCAGCCCACGCCCTCTGACTGCCCTGAGGATACAGTAAAAGCTCAAAAGTTGGAAACCCCATAGCCTCAATCCTTAAAAGGAATGTATAGGGAATCCCAGCACTATTTGGCCTTAATCCGGATTCCAACTCTATGGGGTTTACTGTACCTCTAATATATAGGGGCCTTAATAATTACTTACACTGCTTGGGGGGCTCCTTATTATAGTTTTAGTATGATGGCCCCAAGCCCCTGTTTTAATTATAAAGGCCCCTACATTAGTCTGAGTGCACTGTAGGCACCTCTAGTCTCCTTTGTCAGGATAGTATGGTCTAGTATCGCATCGTTTGGTAAATCATAGTCTCACATGGTATCGTATAGTGTAGTATGTTCTAGGAGAATATAGTTGGGGTATTAAAACATAAGTTGAAAAAGAATGCCAAGGGAGACTATAGATAGCCCTGAACGCTAAACCGTGTGCCAGTGCAACTTCCTGGCCGTGGAGTATCCTGGCTACGGCCTCTGTGCCCGCAGCAAAGGATGCGAGGAGGCCGGTTCTTCAAGCCTTACTTGAGGGCTTCTGGGATTTAGCAGCTAGGGTTAGAACGCTTATATATTATGTTTCATTATATTATATTATACTATATTATATCATATCATATTATATTATACTATTATAAGGTAACTATACCTATAGCTAGTTATCATCCCAGGTAATGCATTTACAACTGGAAGTCGCATGAACCTGCCCTGTTTGAAAACTTGAACCATAAACCGTAAACCATTCTTGAGATATGTACGGACATGAATTTAAGGAGCCCTTAAGACGGCAGGTTCTAAGAGGTCGAGGTAAATCCTTGAGATGACTTTTCAAGGCCTCTGTATTCGAGATGTGCGCTGAGACAAGGGTTACCAAAAGGGGGAGTGTAAGGGCTTCGGGTTTCGGGTTTCTAGAAGAGGTGCTAAACAAGTTTCTTTAGGGTTATCACACTAGCGGCGGTCAGGCTTTCTCGACAAGGGGCACGCAGCCTGGATCACGATAAGGCTGACTGTCACGGGAACAACACGGGTCACCAACCCCGCCAAGAAACGCATTGCCCACGTGTACCTGTCAGAGCCCTAAACCCTAAACCCACCCCCTTTTAGTCCTTCCCAGCAGAAAGGCCTAGACCGCTGGAACCCTTACTTCGGCCCCCTCATCCGTAAACCCGAAACCCTTCGACCCCAAACCCTTAAACCTGAAGCCTTAAATCCTGAAGCCTAAACCGTGAAACCCCTAAACCCTGAAACCCCAAAGCCCTAAGACCCTAGAGGCCCTTAAAGAAACCCTACGAGGAAGGGCAGGGGACGTAGTAAGTAGGTTATAAGTAGGGTTATGATTGGGGTAACTCTATTTAGGGTACTTATAACTCTACTTATAACCTACTTACTAAGTCCCCTGCCCTTCCAAGTAGAACCCCAAACCCTTTTCTTCTGCTTTGATGGCAGATCAGCTTCGAGGGAGTGGAGGACGTAGCGCTCCATGCCTTGTGCACTTGGCAATTTGGGAGTTTCCGAGAATTGGGGGACCGTATTTTGGGGGTCCTTATAGTAAGGATCCTACTATTTAAAATATTTTATGCCTTGTGCACTTGGCAGTTTCAAAGGGCTCCCAGGGTGGGGGTTTAGGGTTTAGGATTTGTTTTTTTTAGGATTTGGGGTTGGGGTTTAGGGTTTCGGGATGTTTAAGATTTGTTTTTTTTAGGATTTGGGGTTGGGGTTTAGGGTTTCGGGATGAATCTAGGTGGGGCAGGTTCATCAGGAGCTTTAACCCCTCAGCCCTAAACCCGAAGCCCTAAGGTGGGGTAATCCTGGAATAGGATGTGTGGCATCCCCTTATAGTGCCCATATATACCATACTGGACACCAAGACCCTATTCAACTTGTTGTTTTGAAAAGCCGAAGCCCTAAACCCTAAGAAGCCCTAAGCCCTAAACCCGAAACCCTCCAAAACCCTTAAGGGACCCCCCTTTAAAGATACCTTAAAGGAACCCCTTAAAGATCCCATCGGGATCCTTAATCCTACCTACCTTCCTCCCACCTTTTGAGGCCTCCACCTCCTCTAGCCGAAGTTGACTGTGGTTCCGTTAAAGGAGCTCTTAAAGGAACCCTTCAGGGATCTGTCACGCTTCCTGTAAGGGGATCTATAAGGGTTCCTTTAAGGGCTGCATAAGGGTTCTTTTAAAAGTTCCTTTAAAGAAGGGTTCTTGGTTCCTTTAAGGGATCTAGAAGGGTTCCTTTAAGGGATTCATAAGGGTTCTTTTAAAGGTTCTTTTAAGGGATCGAGAAGGGTTCCTTTAAGGGCGGTGTGACAGTGTCGGGGTTTGAGGGCTTAGGGTTTTGGGTATAGGGGTTAGGGATCAGGGTATCGGATGGTGGGTTCGAGGTTTGTCTACAGTTTGCCTCCCTTTTTACTATTGTGATCTGAATGAGGTACTGCCCCAGACAGTAAGAGCCTATAATAGGGCTACTATTAAGGGTCTCATATAACTATATGATGAAATATTACTCAAATATTACTGAGTGGGGGCCGTACCCAAGATTTGCGGCACATTCCTCAAGTTAAGACCCAGAGATCCCAATACCCCTTAATTAAGGAATATATCTTAAATCATAGAACTAAGGCCTCTATAATGTAAGGTATATTCCTTAATTAAGGGGTGTTGGGTTCTCTGGGGAGGTGTGGGATCGCTAGGAACAGCTCCTTTGCTTGTGAGGGACGGGCACGTCAGCTGTGGAGTTTCTGAAAATCTGGGGTACCTTACTTTGGGGTCCTTATAAAAAGGACCCTACTATTTAAGGTACTGTATTAGGGTCCCCTAATTTCGGAAACTACCAGTTGGTGCAGACCTACAGCGGCAAGATCAGCCATGTCGGTAGGTTGAATTCCTAACCCTAAACCCTAAACCCTAAACCCTAAACCCTAAATCCTAAACCCTAAACCCTAAACCCTAAACCCTAAACCCTAAACCCTAAATCCTCAGAGCAGATGCTTCGCCAGGGTCTACTGCGTCTCTGTGCGTGGCATTCCTCCAGAGAAGGCTTGCTGGTCCTGGCCTGATATACTGGAACCCAATACCCCTTAATTAAGGAGTATACCTTAAATTATAGAGGCCTTAATACTATGATTTAAGGTATATTCCTTAATTAAGGAATATACCTTAAATTATAGAGGCCTTAATTCTATGATTTAAGGTATATTCCTTAATTAAGGGGTATTGGGATCTCTGGGAATAGCTAGATGCTGCAAAGGGCCATTGTTGTGACGTTGCAGAGTCGAGGTAGACGCAGAGTCTCACATTGCCTCGTTGCGGTGTGCTGCAGTTGCTGGCCTAAACCCTAAACCTGTAAACCCCTAGGGCCCTAGAGCCCTAAACCCTAAACCCCAGAGCCCTCTACCCTTAAAGACCTATACCACTAAAAAATAAACCGCCCTGAGACCTCTTGATGCAGGTCCTGCTTCATGGAAGATCTCTTGGAAGCGGGTTGGGGGCCTCAGGCGGCTCTGCTTGGAGGGTCGGGGGACTTAGTAAGTAGATAGTAAGTAGACTTATAAGTACCTAAAAGGGACCCTAATAGGGGTTATGGTACCTATAAGTCCCTAAAAAAACTGCATTTAGACGTCCATCGAACTTACTCTGTCTCATCATGCTGTATTGTACCATATCAAAATGTACTATGGTATAACATATTGTGTTAACCCTGAACCCTGCGCGCGCCGATGTGCTGCGTCTCGGCGACTTCATCTAGACGTCCGTCGAACTTTTTCATGTTATACTGTTATATTGGACAGTGTTGCGTTATAGCTGATAATGGACTAGGTCATATTATGTGTGTCGTATACTACAATACGTTATAATGCAGTATTGTTTGTTGTTTACATTGTGCTATAGTGTATTATCTTATACTATACTATATTGTATCTCATCATGGCACAGTATGTTATACTGTATACGTGACGTTTTTTTGGGTACTGTTTGGTATTAGGTTCCATTATAGTATTGTGTACTAGCCTACATCATCTTCTAATGCGGTATATTTTATTCTGCTACTTCATAAACTGTTAGGCTTAGCCTTTGTATATTATGGTATATTGGTGTTATGTTATGTTATGTTATGTTATGTTATGTTATGTTAGGTTATACATTGTATTCTATATGTATATATATATACATATATATATATATATATATATCATGCTATGCTTCTTGCACTTCTGTAGACGCCAAGAGTCTCAGGCCGGTCCTGCGACTCGCCAAGCGGGCGCGTGACCTGCCGGGGCCTCTGAGCCGCCTCTCGCTGTCGGCCGAAGGGTTAGGGTTTTAAAGGCTCCTAAAAGGCTCCTTTAAGCTTAGGGGTACTTAGAAATAATTTTTAATTTTTGGTTATTATAATCCCTAAGAAACAGCTAAAATTATAATTTTTGCTAGGGTTCTAAGTTCAGTATAGTCCTAAAAGGCTCCTTTAAGGTGGGTTCCTTTAAGGTGGGCTCCTTGAATGTTCATTTAAGGCTCCTTTAAGGTGGGGTCCTTTAAACCTTCTTTTCAGGGTTTCCGGATTCCTGAACCCCCAAACCTCCTAAAGTAGAGCCCAGCAGAGCATGGCCTGTGTAGGCCATGCCTGGAAGTCTGCCGTCTACTTGGCTGGTACTTGGAGGATCATGGGACTTAGTAACTAGGGTTATAAAAAAGGTAACTATACTTATAACTCCAATTAGGGTACTTATAACCTTACTTACTAAGTCCCATGATCCTCCAAGTACGACTGTTGGATCCTGGAATAGTCGGGCTGACAGCGCAAGAAAGGCGTGGCGCCGCAGAGCTGTGATTTTCGAGACTATACTTGGAGGGTCGGGGGACTTAGTAAGTAGATAGTAAGTAGACTTCTAAGTACCCTAAAAGGGACCCTAATTGGGGCTATGGTACTTATAAGTCCCTAAAATAACCAGTTACTACGTCCTCCGACCCTCCAAGTAGCCCCGAGGATGAGATGGCACATTGGTGGGGTCGTGCTGCAGCCTCTTGGCCTTTGGGGTTTATGGCCTTTTGGGGCCTTTTCGGGCTTTAGACTTCCCTTACAGGAGCCCTTAATGGAAACCATATGGAGTTTCCGAAAATTAGGGGTACCTTATTTTGGGGTCCTTAGAATAGGCTCCTACTATTTAAGGTGCTTTTTTCGGGTCCCCCACCCCTAAACCCTAAACCCTAAACCCTAAACCCTAAACCGTCCCCCATTTTGGGAAACTCCCATGAAGGAGCCCCCACAGGCCCGAAAGGTTCCGGGTTTCGGGGGTGGGATTTAGGGGCTTCAGGGTTCAGGGTTTAGGGTTTAGGGTTTAGGGTTTTAGGGTTTAGGGTTTAGGGTTTAGGGTTTTAGGGTTTAGGGTTTAGGGTTTAGGGTTTAGGGTTTAGAGTTTGGGGCACACTTGGAGGATCATGGGACTAGGGTTCCTTAAAGGGTTCCTTAAGGAGCTCCTTTTAAAGGCTTCTATAGGGGATCTAGGGATTTAGGGTTTAGGGTCTACTTGGAGGATCATGGGACTTAGTAACTAGGGTTATAATTAGGGTAACTATACTTATAACCCCAATTAAGGTACTGAAAACCTTACTTGTTAAGTCCCATGATCCTCCAAGTACCTTCTTGGCCGGGAGTGTAGGTGCACGCTTGAGCATCCGTCTCTAAAGCCAGCGGCATATGCTTGTCGACATACAGTTACAATATCTTACACTATGTTACATCATATTATGTTATGCTCTTTCATACTTTATCATGTTATACTATGCAGTCCACGGGTGTTTGTGCATATGTTACAGCCCTGTTGAATCTTATTTACGCAGATACCTCGGAGGGCTCATGTTCCTGCTGCATGCTCAGTGCCAGGGGGACTCATTCCACAATGCTAGCAACTGAGTCGTTAGAGTCGACTCTATCGCGCACAACTTGATCAGCAGCTCAGTCCCAGGATATCAATAGGTTCGCTGGGCATTCTGAGAAAAAACCGAGGTCTTCCCGAACTAGCCAGCTATCACAGCGCACCTTTAAAATTCCCATAGGCAAACCCTAGAAACCTTTATATAGAAGTCCTAAAACGAATGCTAGATGGGAAACTGAGCGTACCGACAACGCCTTCTCTTTCTCCTTGAGGTGTCCCTTCATCAGCATCCGGCAGGTTGCAGCAGACTACGTGGGCCTCCCAGGTGGGAACGTTGCTTTGTCTCGACATTCTTCCTACAGTAGAAGCCAGGGAGTTGGAACATCATTACCTTAAGGTAAAGTATAGGAAATCCTAGCACTCTTAATCCAAGCCCCAATTTTCTGGAGTTCACTGTATTCTGTTTGGTGGCTTTGAGCATGTCGTATCCTTGTAGCAGCGACGCCGCAGGGAGCTACCTCATCCCAAAAGACTGCTACAACAACCTCGACGCCCTGCAAGAGCTGTGCTTGCGACTCAGAGCTGCGCAGATCGGACCCTAAACCCTAAACCTAAACCCTATGCCCTAAACTCTACACCCTCAAAAAAAACTAAACCCTATGCGTCTCTGCGGAAGCTGAAGGCCTGGAGCCTTTGAACTCTTGGGCACCGTCCTCAGCTTTTGCTCAGCTCCGGTGGTAGCTGGGCTTTTTAGGGTTTAAGGCACCCGGCTTGTCTTCGCTTCCCCTTCGACAACATGTAGGATGCAAGCATGCCAGGTGCCCATCCTGATACTCCACGGCGAACTGGACAAGGCCACTGCCAGGTTTGCATCATTTGCTTAACGGCTTCCGGGCTTTAGCATTGGGGGTTTAGGGTTGAGTGTGGCGCGCTTCCGGGTTCCTGGACAACGAGGACTTTCAGGTTTACTTAGGGGTGCTTAGATTTTTTTTAATGTTTGGTCATTATAATCCCTAAGAAACAGCTAAAATTATGATTATTGCTAGGGTTCTGAGTTCAGTATAGTTTAGGTTTCAGGGTATCCCGTTTCACGATCCCTCACAGGTCATCAAGCCGTACCACGGGAGGGCATTGCTGCAGAAGGCCGGCTTGGTGGGGATGGCAGAGGCAAGCTCCCTTGTGGGTTTAGGGTTTAGGGGTTCCATAGAAGGGTTTCTTTAAGGGTTCCATGAAAGTTGCTTAGGTTAGAAGGGTGTTGAGGGTTTCGGGTATTCAGGCAGGGCTCGGGCCCTCAAAATGCCACCTAAACGTAAGGATCTCGCGGGGGGGTGCGTCCCTAAAAGGGCCGCGGCGCCGTGTGAAGGATCCCTTGGTGACGCACACGCTTGCCAGGCCGTGGAAACTGGACATCCCCAAGTGGAGGCGGGACCAGGTAATTACTGAAGCTGTCACGGGGTCAGACTGCTTGTGTGCAGGCATGCACGGCTTTTTCGGTAAGTCGGTGACACCCGCTTTCAGGGAGACGAAGAAGAAAAAAGAGTAAGGGAGGAGCAGAGCACGAACAGATGATACAGACCGTTAGCTGTTGAACAGATTCCATCCCGGTGGTGGACATACCAACTCGACACATTCAATCGGAACATCCTCATCACTCATCACTTGTTTCTACTTCCCTCAAAGCAAGCTGTAGCAGGAGTTCTCCAGCCCCACACATTCTTGGGGTCACCGAGGAAAAACATGCTACACACCGCACAATCGCCCTTTATTTGCAGGCTTGATATTTCTTGGGTGGTTGCTGTAAACTTCCGTTGTTTTTTGTTCTTCAATATTAGCACTTCCTATAGCTTTCTGATGTCTCTCTTTGCCTTCTTAATGAAGTTATCGGCTTTTGCTTCTTTTTACGCCAGCCCGACAGATGTAGTAGGATGTTAGGTTGACGGGAATAATGTTATGATCCTGTCACAGTTTTGGCAAGCAGCAGGCAGCACAACGAAAATCACGTGGCTCCCCAGGCCATTATGACAATTGGAACGGGCCAGTCGTAGAGACGATGGTGGGCGTGCAATGCATCGGAAAAGATGCATAATATAGGGGCCTAAATACTTGCTTTTTTCTATTTTACAGTTATAGTATAAAGGCCCCCAAAACCGTATCCTAATGATTAAGGCCCCGATAGTAGCCATTGAACACGAGCGCAAGCAAGATCTTTGTGACTGACCCTCAAGGAGCTTTGTGATTTTGCCGCATCTGCAGGGCGTCTTCCCACCTCACGCCTCGCACAACCACTGGAGCCTTCGCAGGGCTCTCGGCCTTCTTGGATCTCCAGAGTGTACCTACTTGGAGGGTCGGGGGACTTAGTAAGTAGGTAGTAAGTAGACTTATAAGTACCCTAAAAGGGACCCTAATTGGGGTTACGGTACTTATAAGTCCCTAAAATAACCAGTTACTAAGTCCCCCGACCCCCCAAGTAACCCGCTTAATAGGCGTTGTGGTAATGAGGGAACCTGATTAAGGAACCTTGGGCCTTTATTAGGGTTCCTTATATGAACCCTCCTGTTTTGGGGTTATAGGCCCAGGGCCTTAATCAGGTTCTCGGTACGTCCGGAACTTTGTCGACGTGAAGCAACTCCAAAAAAATCAGGTTCCTACATTAGCCCTGACAGCGGCCATCATAGCAGCCTTATAGTAACCCTTCTAAGAAAGATTACAGTAAGCCTTGCAGTAGCCTTCGTAGGCGCCTTGACAGCAACCCCTTACAGTAACCCCGGAAGGAACCCTGCCTTATGGGAACCTTATGGTAGCTCCCTTATAGTACTATAACCCTTGTAGCAACCCTTCAGAGGAACCCTTGAAGGTGTTACTCAGTGAGTATCGTAAGGCGGTACTCTAAGGATAAGGTTACTATAAGGCTTACGATAAGGCTTCCTACAAGAATTTTGCTACCGGGCTCGTGTGACATGTTGCGATAAGATTTACCACAAGATTTGCTACAAGGGTTCTCATAAGGGCTACTAGCCCTTACTAGCCTGAGGAGAGGATGTCGTCAAGCCGATGCAAGCGACGCACCGACATGTGTTGCTGATGCTTCTGTGGGCACAAAGTTCCTCAGAATCAGAATTGCAGAAACCCTAAACCCTAAACTTTAAACCCTAAACCCTTGGGAACGCCAGGTTCTGCCAACGGCATGTCGCTGGCTGGCGCGAGCAGCAGGCAGGTGCCCAGATCATCCAAAACCCGTCAGTTAAGGAATATGGACCTGAAAGGGCTTCTTAAAGGGTTCCTTAAAGGGATCTAAGAGCTGAAGGGGATCTAAAAGGGTTCTGTAAGGGAACCAAGGAATGGACCTTAAGGCATATTCGGGATCCTACTGTAATTTAAGGTATATTCCTTAATGTGCGAATTCTGGAAGATCTGGGTCGGGGACTTTTCCAGAGATGCCTTATTTGGGTTTACGGAGTTCACGGTTCCTTTAAGCGTGCTATAGGGTTCTATAAGAAGGTTCCCTTTGCAGGTTTAGGGTTAAGGGTATACTGGGAGGGTCATGGGGCTTACTTAGTAGGTGGGGTTCCTTAAATGGTTCCTTAACAGGCTTTGTAAGGTACCTCTGGGGGTTTATTGCTGAAAGGATCATGGAACTTAATAACTAGAGTTGTGAACGAAGTAGCTGTAGTCATAGCTACTTATAACTCCAATGAAGGTACTTCTAACTTTACGTACTAAGTCCGAAACTCGGGTTCTTTGGCCCACGACGACGTGTGATCTTGTAACCCATGTAGTTTTCCTCTTATCGTAACCTTGCAGTGCCCCATGTAGAGCCCTTGTAGTCGTTTGCCTTGAAGTAAACCTTATAGTGAACTGATAACTCAAGTCGCCACTAAACTCTGAACCCTAAACCCCAAAGCCCTACACCCCTAAAGCCCTACTTGGAAGGGCAGGGGACTTAGTAAGTAGGTTATAAGTAGGGTTATAATTGGGGTAACTTCATTTAGGGTACTTATAACTCTACTTATAACCTACTTACTAAGTCCCCTGCCCTTCCAAGTAGAGCCCTAAACCCCGAAACCCTAAGCCTCAAAACTCGTCAGTTCCCAGACCTGAGGCTTTCTGGTCTGGTGAGAGCATCTCACTGAAGTGCTTCTGATGCCGCAGGCAAGCGGGTTTGGGGGGGGGGTTTGGGGGGTTGGGTTTGGGGTCCTTTAGGGTTTATTTGGGGGTTTGGGGTTGGGTTTAGGGAGCGAGTTTCTTACCTTTGGTTAGTAGGGAATGGTAGAATGGTAGCAATAGTAGTTATAGTTGTACCCCATTCCTCCATTCCCTACTAACCAAAGGTAAGGTTTGGGGTTTGGGGTTGGGTTTAGGGTCGTTTAGGGTTTAGGAGTTAGGCAGGCAGCTGCAGAGTATCGGAGACTTCTAAAATCGGGTGCCATGAGGGCGGCTATATGGGTTCTATACGGGTGCTATAAAAGGCTACTGTATAAGGGTACTAGCAGAGTACTCTGCGTACTCACTTGGCACATCATTACAGGGTTTCGGGTTTAAGAAGCAGCGTCACTGCAGCGGAATCCCGGACTGCAGAAGGTCTTCTGAGGTGTGTGCGTGTATTAGTATACAGCATATTGCATATAGGTATAGCCTCTCTCTCTATAGCAAGATAGGCTTGAAGCTTCAGGGAGTCCAGTTGGGCCGGGTCAGGCTTCTGGCTGAAAAGCGGCGCTTTCTGAGAGGATGTAATTCGCTGTGAGCTGTAGGGCTCCACTATAGGGGCCTTAATAATTACCTGTACTAGTTTGGGAGTTCCTTATTGTAATTTTAAGGCCCCTTTTGCAGGGCTCTATTAGTCTATGCCTGTTGTGCAAAATGCACACCAACGCCAACACCCAGCAATTTCGTAGGGTGCTTGCAAGTGTTTGATAGCCTCCAGAGTGTTGCAAAGAGTCAACCGCTGGCCAAAAAACGGGGTACCAAGGTAGATTGAGATCCAAGATGTATCGATGCACTGTCCTTCCATCTGCGCTTGAAGCGAACGATGGACACTCTGTTCTCTCTCACAGCTGATCGTTCGCCCCACATGAATCATGCAAGCCTCACCCTCGACTTCTAAACCCCTAAACCCCTAAACTCAAAAACCCCTGAACCCCAAACCCTAGACCTTGCAATTAGCAGATTGTGCAGATGCGGCAGGGAAGCCCAAGCATCTTACCACTCATACGAGCCAGCCTCTAAAGAAGTATAAACCTTCATAGTCACCCTTCTGCTCACCCTCGTAGTAGCCCTAAAGATAGCCCTTGTAGTAACTCTCATAATAACCCTTATATAGTAGCCCTTATAGCCTTGAAACCCCAAAGTCTCCATGTAGCTATATAGTATAAACCCTCAACCCTAAACCCCTAGACCCCAAACCCCTAAACCCTAAACCCTAAACCCTAAACCCTAAACCCCTAAACCCTAAACCCTAAACCCCTAAACCCTAAACCCTAAACCCTCTTAAAGTAGCCCTTATAGCCTTGAAACCCCAAGGGCTCCGAAGGGACCGAGGCGGCTGATGGCGGAGCCTTCGCTGCTGAGCCAGCTCACAGAGCTGCTGCTCCTGACGTGACCTGGCGTACTTGGAGGGGCAGCGGACTTAGTTTAAAGGGATCCTAGAAGGGTTCCTTAAAGGGATCTATAAGGGTTTAGGGTTTAGGGATTTAGGGGTTTAGGGACTTAGTAAGTAGGTTATAAGTAGGGTTATAACTGGGGTAACTCTATTTAGGGTACTTAGTCCCCTGCCCTTCCAAGTAGGCTTCAGGGGGCCCTAAATGGGTGGTTGTCAAAATTAAGGTCCCTTTTTGGGGAACCCTAAATATTAGGTGCCGTATTATTTTAGGGACCCAAAATGGGACCATAATTTTGACAACCACCCAAATAAGGGTTTAGGGTTTAGGGTAGGGTTTAGGGCTTGGGGTAAGGTTTAGGGTTTAGGGCCCGTTTGACAGGATCTTTGAGGGTTTCTTTCTTATGTTAGGCTTCAGGATTTCAAGGGGTGAGGGGTTTATGGCACCTTAGGGTTGCGGGTTTAGGGGTTTAGGGTTTGGGGGATAGGCTTCAGGATTGAGGGTTTAGGCTTCAGGGTTCCGCTTACTACAAGGGTCAACATAGAGGTTCCTTTCAGGGAATTTGTAGGGGTTTCTATGAGGGTCGAGCTTATTATAGGGTTTATGCGGTTTCGGGTGTGGGGTGCAGGGTGTAACATTGTTACATACCTATATGTATAGTGAATACACTCATATAAAGGCTTCAAGGGATAACTGTACATGTGCTTATAGCCATAGAGTGTAGAGTATGCATGACTCTGGGCCTGTAGTGCCTTAGACAGGAGTTTCTTTGTCGCTCTTTGGCCCTCAACCCTGGAACGGCAAAGTCTGAGGCCCTAAACCCCAAACCCTAAACCCAAAGCCCTAAACCCTAAACTCTTAAACCGTAAAAACCCTAGGCCCTAAGGCCCTAAGCCCCAAGGCCCTAAGCCCTAAACCCTAAACCCTTAAACCCTAAACCCTCTAAGCCCTCAGCCCTAAACCCCGTAAGCCCTAAGCCCTGAGCCCTAAACTCCAAGCCCTGAGCGCCTGAGGCTCCTGGCCAATGCTGCGCTGTTGGCGAGGAAGGCGGTGTCTGCGAGTTTGAAGGACTGGGCGTGAGTTGACCGCAGGCTTTACGGCGTTGGGTTTCGGGTTTAGGGGTTTAGGGGTTTAGGGGTTTAGGGGTTTAGGGTTAAGGCTTAAGGCTTTTAGAGTTTTTGGTGAGCTGCGAGTTTCGGCTTTCGGGTTTAGAGTTTCCAATAATTGAGGGATTCAGGGTTAAGAGTCTACTGCTATTTGCTTAAGAACCCCCCAAAAAATAAAAAGTGATAATCCCTATATTATCCCTATTAGGAATATATTTTTTATTTTTTGGGGGTTCTTAAGCAAATAGGAGTCTAGCATCTCTTGGGATGCCTCGGAGGCTTTCCTGCTCCCCGACAAGACCCTCGCAGAACCCTTATGGGAGTTTCCGAAAATAGGGGACCCAAATCTAGTACCCTAAACAGTGGGATCCTTATTACGAGGACCCCAAAGTAAGGTACCCCTACCTTTCCGAAACACCCTTATAGAGCTATAGAGAACCCTGAAGCACGCTTACTGAGCCCTTAAAGAGCCCGAAGCCCTACTTGGAGGATCATGGGACTTAGTAACTAGAGTTATGAATAAGGCAACTATGCTTATAACTCCAGTTAGGGTACTCATAACCTTACTTACTAAGTCCCATGATCCTCCAAGTAGTACCCTAAACCCTATAAACCTTATAGATCCCTTTAAAAGAACACTATGGCTCCCTTTAAGGAGCCCTTTAAGGAACCCTACTTGGAGGGTCGGGGGACTTAGTAAGTAGGTAGTAAGTAGACTTATAAGTACCCTAAAAGGGACCCTAATTGGGGTTATGGTACTTATAAGTCCCTACAATAACCAGTTACTAAGTCCCCGGACCCTCCAAGTAAGTCCCATAAACCCTATAAACCTTATAGATCCCTTTAAAAGAACACTATGGCTCCCTTTAAGGAGCCCTTTAAGGAACCCTATATAAGTCCCATAAACCCTATAAACCTTATAGATCCCTTTAAAAGAACACTATGGCTCCCTTTAAGGAGCCCTTTAAGGAACCCTACTTGGAGGGTCGGGGGACTTAGTAAGTAGGTAGTAAGTAGACTTATAAGTACCCTAAAAGGGACCCTAATTGGGGTTATGGTACTTCTAAGTCCCTACAATAACCAGTTACTAAGTCCCCGGACCCTCCAAGTAAGTCCCATAAACCCTAAACTTTATAGATCCCTTTAAAAGAACACTATGGCTCCCTTTAAGGAGCCCTTTAAGGAACCCAAAGTCCCATAAACCCCAAGCGAGGAAGGCAGCAGCTTTTTTCTGGAAGGCATCCGACGGGATTCGCCACCAGGCAGGGTCCTGGCTGCAGGCTCCGTAGCCCTGAAACCTGGACCCTAAACCCCAAACCCTCAACTTCCGAAGCCCCACAAGGTTTAGGGTTTAGGGTTTAAGGTTTAGGGTTTAGGGTTTAGAGCGCCAGGGGCTATGTACTGAAAGTGCTTGTCAAATTTCGCTGCGTCCGGTGGAAGGTTTGCAGCTGGAAAATCTCCCTTCTGCTGGTGCTTACGACTTGGGCGGCACATGTCTGGTTGTTGGAGTACAGCCCCTTGACGGTTGAGGTTCCGCAAGATTCATCGACGATTGCTGGATTTAGCATGAGAGCAGAGTCCACGTCTACTCTGTCTGAAGATACTTCGTACATTGGCATAGATGCACAGGTACATGCTCGAGGCAGAAGATTCGGTTAGGATCCGTGATGGCATCTGCTATGTATTCTCTGATGGAGTTCGAGATGACTTGTACCCTCACCCTAAACCTTTGACTGCCCAGGCACTTCCTGGGTGCGCTTCTCTGCCTGCCCGAGGTCACCCGAAACGTCAGCAACGCACCTCGGCCGAAGACAGCATGCCGCTCATCCAACAGTGTGCCTCGTGTCACATATTATCCGTAAGCCATACATATCTCAAGCTCTTTACATTCTCCCTGCAGCTCATTACCTCAAAAGGTTCCTCTGTTTTGAATCCATCAGCCTAGAAGCCCGAACCTTCAAACCCCCAAAGCTCTGAACTCTGACCCTTAAACACTGTGAACCTATACCTAACCCATAACAAGCCCCAAACCCTTCATGGTTCGCTCAAGGGTGCCGTTAAGGGTTTCTTTAAAGCTTCTTTGTCTTTCTATTGGGCACTCACCTTAAAGTATCTCTCCCTAAACCTTAGAGCCCTAACAGCCCTAAGAGTCCTAAGGACTTTGAACCCCAAACCCCAAACCCTGAACCCTAAACCCTAAACCCTAAACCCTAGACCCCAATATAGGAACCCGAAAAAACCCAGGAGCCTTAAGCCCCAAACCCCGAGAACTCTAAGAGCCCTAAGAACCCTGAAGCCCCCTTGCAGTCACCCTTCTTTTGGTAACCCTAAAACCCTAAAACCCTAAACCCTATAAACCTTATAGATCCCTTTAAAAGAACACTATGGCTCCCTTTAAGGAGCCCTTTAAGGAACCCTACTTGGAGGGTCGGGGGACTTAG